CCAACTTTTGGACTGCTCTGCCAGTCACTGTGGCTCAAGCTGAGAGGAGCTTTTCAAAACTTGATCAAGTCATACCTGAGGTCACCTATGTTTCAGGGGCGGCTCACTAACCTGGCTCTGATTAGTATCAATCACTCAGTAGGGGAGCAGATTTCATATTATTGATGACTTTGCATTAAGGTTAGGTTTTAATTTTAGTTTGTGTTTTCTATTCTAAGTGCAATGCTGTAGTGATTATCTTTAGTTTGTTATGTGTGAAATATTTTTGCTACATAGAATATTTATTATATATTATGTTCATATATTCTTGATATTAAGTTATTGTTTGTTTTTGTATATTTGATTCTATATATTTTGATACAGTATATAATGTATAGTGCTTTACATTCTGACAGCTTCATAGTAATGAATGTAAATATGTGCAACTTAGAAAAATGAATGTTCAATAGTCGTTCTAATAAAACATGCCTGTTTGTAGAAAACATGTGTGTTCGTGCAGGTGGGGTGGTGTGGTGGTGGTGGTGGTGGGGGGGGGGGCTCAAAGGGGGCCTCGCCCGGGGAGTTATTCCATGTAGAACCGCCACTGGTGACAGGACGCTCACGTTGTCACAGACGCATGATGCTCTGTCTCAATCTGTCCCCCTGCTGATATTCTGCATTCCGTATTCTGCGCTTCAGGCTGTGTGTGTGTGTATGCACACGTGTGTGTGTGCATGTGGGGGATCTTGTTTTGTCTGAAAACGAAGCAGTACAAGTGATAATGCTAAAGAATTTCATAATGTTATCCTTCTCAGCAGCAGCACTGCAGGTGCTCTCCATGTCCAACATGTGCATAAGCCAGGTCCTTAGTCAACTTAAAGTTGCGCACATTTTTCTGCTAAGTTTTCTTTCATAAATCCCAAAGTTTGAGTGGAAAGTTGCTTACGCAGTTTTCCGACCCCGTTTTGTGCGTAAGCAAGCTTGATAAATGAAACCACTGGCCTGTAGGGCCCTCATAGAATAGAATAGAATAGAATCGAATGGAATTTTTGTGATACGTCTGCTAAACTACAGAACACACTAGACTGAAACATTGTTTCATGTTGTTGCTTCAGTTTTTAGGTGAAATCTTCCTTAAACCGCATCACCAAGAACCTGATTAAAAAGTAAGCATGTCGTATCACATGTTAAGAATGCACCTGCTGTTCCTGTGTAGCCAGACACAGTGAGAGTGTAGTTCTTTTCCTCTGAAGCCATGGAGAAGCTGGCATAGTGAGCGTAAGCCGTGTCATTTCCAGATGTCATATCCACTCTCAGGCTCACAGGGCCCATACTGGTTAGGTTGTGCAGGAGTTCGTTTCCTGGCCACAGTAACAAGAGATCCCTTCCAGTTAAGGTAGACAGATTAAAGGCTATTTGCATTCAGAAACAATGATAATTAAACATTCTAGCAATACCAAGCCAGAACTCTTCGCTCAAGTTTCCAAAGCCAGCTTTGTAGTCATCCCAGGTTCTGTAGAAGTCAGTTTTTCCGTTCATCCTTCTCTGAAACACCTAAAAGCAACAAAAACAACAATGTTCTTATCCTGTTTTACTGACTGACTCAGTTTCAAGTGCAAAGCCGTTTATTTGACCGTCCAGCCTCCTCCATCAGTCTCCATGTCACAGTAAACTCTTGCTGCTCGTCCTTCCTTTCCTTGAGGGTAGATGTCCACTTCCCCTGACTCTAGAGCTCCATTTAGCAGCTCCTGGGAGCACTCGGTGGGGAAAGGGAAACGCAATTTTCCTGGAAGACAACCATTTTGGTGTTTTTATGTTTATTTAATTGAATAAAATCTGAAATGTAAACAACAACAAGAAAAAGCGTAATACCAGTAGTGAATTGTGAGGTGACTACCGAGGTGTGGAGCCCATTTTTCTCGCCTTGTACCAGAACGGTGTAGCGTGACAAAGGCAGCAGGCCGGTCAGTTTGTACTCAGTGATGGTGGGCTCCAAGATCACCTCCTAACGGAAACAAAGGAGCATTCTGCTGTTATTGAAATTTTATATTGAAATGCTATGAAGCTTAGCATGCTGACAGTGTATTGCAGCATGTGACAAACATGTGCTGAGTATTTGGTAAACAACAAGTCTTCGTGTGCGATGACAAACAATGAGTGTTGACAACAGGCTGAATGCATTCTTTTACATTCTGCAATGAAATCAAACCTGTGTGACTTTATTGAGAATGTAGAAGATGCCCGTTTCAGCTGCCCTTCGGAACAAACCGGACTGAGCGATTGACTGTAGGCTGTGTCTGTATGTTTCAAGATGGTTGTCCCCAGCTGTTCTGAAATACTGTGCTTGCAAGAACCGATAATGAAGAATCATCACCCACCTTTGCCTCCTCTCCTTCCACCTGGTAGACAACTCTGTAGCTGTGATAAACAAATGGAGTTCTCCAGGCAATCACAGCAGAGCGAGCACTGACCTCACGGGCTTTAATCACTGAGAGAAACGAGGTGGCCAAGAACATTAACAGTTGCATATTTCTATCTTGGACCCCCCACCAGGTATCCTGTAGTTGTCGTTTTTTACTCACTGATTGCTGTAGTAAACGTGAATGAGACTGCTTGACTCTTCAGGCTGTCCTTTTGGCTCAGCACTTTGACCTTGTACAGAGTGCCTCTTTGCAAGCCTTTCAGCTCGTATTGAACCGAGTTTCCTGACAGCATCACTGTTACAGTCACATTAGGAGCTGTGTCCAGAAAAACCACACACACACACACACACACACACGCACACCCACACACACACACGCACACACACGTAGCACATACAACACATACAATGAAAATGCTTATATGTATCAATTTAACATCAGCTGGTGTCACACTCACTTTTGGAGGACTCATAGCTAAGGATGAAACGGTCCACTTTCCCCAGACTTGGTGTCCATTGCACCACAGCTCTGGTTTCTGTCACATTGATTACTTGAAGGTGTGTGGGAGGGGCAGGCACTGCAGTGAAGATAGAACCAACATTGTGTATTTCTAGAGGTGAAACTCGATTTATAAATATATCTAATTAATCAGAGGCTTTTTAATCAATTAATCTTGATTAATCACAATTCAATCATTCAAGGGAATTTGCCCCTAAGACATTTTTTCTGATAAAAATAATTTTAGTAAAGCACAGAATCAAAGAATAGACATGGACATTAATAATGCAAACTCAAGCTCTTTTAAATTTAGAAAAAAATGCTTTTAAATTGTTTTAACTCAAAACAGTAAAAAAATAAAAATGAATAAAACTAAAAGTAGACAGGACAAATCTCAAAGTACAGCACTATTTTTAGTACATTTATACAGGTTTTATTTTTAAACGAAAACAATAATGACAGTGTTTCTGAAAACTTTTGAGCAACACCTGCCAGGCAGATGTGGGAGTTTATCACACGGGACATTTCTGAACCACGCAGGACAATGACCTCATGTGTTTCAGATTTGTACCTATTTAACTGTAGGTTTTGTCATGACCTCTGATATTAAATCTTTTTATTAATAGCTAAAATCTGCTTTGTTGGTTTGTGATAGAAAATACACGGTGGAATGCTGGGATTAGGAAAGCCTTACACATCTATGTCATCTACATCATAGACGCACCCATATTGACTCGCGACAAGCAAGGCTGTTGTTGGTTTAGTGTCCAGGAGACAGCAGAGAACATCTCAGCTAGCAGAAGCTAACTGTTAGCATTAGCAACTCCACCACATGGCAGAACTTAAGGCTTGTGGTATTTGTGGAGATAAAACATCAGCTGGTTGATGTCTGAAGATATTCTGATCTGGCTCACTTCTAGCAGGGCGGCCAACTCTCATGCATTGAGCATGAGATGCATGCAGCTGACCTTCACACACTCACCTCCGATATCTCATGCTGAACCCCCCCCCCCACACACACACACACACACACACACACACACACACACATGGAAAATGCACAAAGGCGAAACACTTTCCACCCCCAACCACTCTCATGGCCAACGGACAGAAGCGAAATGATTTGCCCGTGAAAATGAGAAATGCCACACAAAAGTGGGCTTTTTGGCAGTTTACCAGTAGTAATAGTTGATGTGAGTTCATCACTTTGAGCTCGGCCCTTTGTTGTGGTTACTGTGATGATGTACGATGATCCAGTGGACAACTTGGACAACACAACATGCGTCTGCTGAGAACCCACAGTCACAAAGTGACTCTTTCCTGACAACATGAACACAGGCATCATTAAAACTTTCACATTCTTACTTATGCTGGGGCGCAAAAGTTTGTGCAGCCTTGTGAATCGTCATGATGTCCCTGTATAAACCGTTGGTTATGATGAAAAAATTCAGTTAAATATATCCTGTAGGAGACACATATCACATATATGATATTTGAGAAGTGAAATAAAGTTTATAGGTTTCACAGAAAGTCTGGAATAATAGTTTAAACAAAATTAGGCAGGCGCATAAATGTGGGCATCATTTTATTGATTCCAAAATCTTTAGAACTAATTATTGGAATTCAAATTTGGTTTGGTAAGCTCAGTGACCCTTGACCTCCACAAACAGGTAAATCCAGTTATGAGAAAGAGTATTTAAGGGGGTCAGTTGTAAGTTTCCCTCCTCTTTGAATATTCTCTGAAGAGTAGCAACATGGAGGTCTCTAAACAACTAATGACCTGAAAACTAAGATGGTTCACCATCATGGTTTAGAGGAAGGAGACAGGAAGCTGTCTCAGAGGTTTCAGCTGTCTGTTTCCACAGTTAGGAACATGCTGAGGAAATGGAAGACCACAGTTCAAGTTAAGGCTCGAAGTGGCAGAACAAGAAACATCTCTGGTAAACAGAGGTGAAGAATGGTGAGAAGAGTCAGAGTCAACCCACAGAGCAGCACCAGAGACCTACAACATCTTCTTGCTGCAGATGGAGTCACTGGGCATCGTTCAACTATTCAGCGCACTTTACACAAGGAGATGCTGCATGTGAGAGTGATGCAGAGGAAGCCTTTTCTCCACCCACAGCACAACCAGAGCAGCTTGAGGTTTGCTAAAGCACATCTGGACAAGCCAGCTTCATTTTGGAATCAGGTGCTGAGAACTAATTAAACTAAAATTGGGTTATTTGGGCATAACAAGGGTCGTTATGCATGGAGGAAACAGAACACAGAACTCCAAGGAAAACACCTGCTACCTACAGTAAAGCATGGTGGTGGTTCCATCATGCTGTGGGCTGTGTGGTCAGAGCAGGGAATGGGAATATTGTTAAAGTTGAGGAACACATGGATTCAACCCAATATCAGCAGATTCTGGAGACCAATGTCCAGGAATCAGTGACAAAGCTGAAGCTGCACCGTGGCTAGATCTTTAAACAAGACAACGACCCTAAACACTGTTCAGTATCTACTAAGGCATTCATGCAGGGGAACAAGTACAACGTTCTGGAATGGCCCTCTCAGTCCCCAGACCTGAATATTATTGACAATCTGTGGTGTGAGTTAAAGAGAGCTGATGGAAGCCATCCAACCTGAATGAACTAGAGATGTTTTGTGAAGAAGAATAGTCCAGAATACCTTCACCCAGAATCCAGACTCTCACTGGAAGCTCTAGGAAGTGTTTAGAGGCTGCTGTTTCAGCAAAAGGAGGTTCTACTAAATAATGAGTTATTTATTTTTTAAGGTAACCAAATTTATGCACCTGTCTAATTTTGTTTTAACAATTATTGCACACTTTCTGTAAATCCTATAAACTGTTTCACTTCCCAAATATTACCATGTGTGTTTCTTGTATGATATATATTTTTTGTCATGACAAATAATGATTTATACAGGAAAATCATGAAATTTAACAAGGGTGCCCAAACATCTGCATCCTACTGTATATGAGTGGTTTTCTTCAGATCTCTGATCTTTGCTAAAGCTGTGTGACAGACCTGTTGCCGTGTGGATGTAAGTTATTCGGAACCCTGTAAATATGGTGTTTGGTTTGGTCCAGGAAACAGCAAGCGAAGTCTCTGTGACATCACTGAAAATCAGCTCTGTCGGTGGCTCAGGACCTGGCAAGACAAAACAATGTTTTATTATTTGGTAATATCTTGATTGCACATTGTGGTGCTGATTTTAGGGTGGGAATAAACATGTTAGTTGATAGATAACCTGTGGTTGCTGTTACTCTGTGAATCTTGGATCTTCTGTTTGCAGAACTTCCATAGATTTGCAGGACATAATGTTCATCTGCTCTAAGATTGCTGAACTCCACTGAGCGTACATTGCCGGGGACTACCAAAGACATCCTCTTGGTTTCAGCGTTGTTCTTCAGTGCAGCGGTTCTACTAGAATGGACAGTTGTGTTTGGGCTCTCACTTCGTACTTCAGTTGAGTTCCAGGTTGCAGACACGTCATTGTTGGAGGTTTTCACGGGTTCCTCTTTGTCACTCTCTATCAGTGGCACTTTTCTGATTATAGTGAAATTTTTGAACATCCCTTTGGGTGCTAGCCATGTGATGGTGAAGCTGTAGGAGGAGACGTTCTCAACCTTCACCGACCCTAAACCTCCCGTCTGGCTGATGCTTGTCCCAGAGCCATGGACAGTTGTTTTGTTTTCAATGAGATTTGTTTTGTTTGTATTTGTTGGATTTTGACTTTGGTGTGCATCCTTCTCTGTTTCAGTGCTGACATCTGTTTTTCTCTTGTCTTCAGATTGGTTATTTTTATTACCGACTTTCCTAGTGTGGTCAGATCCAGTTGACTGACTATCCTTTTTTTCAGACAGCGTGGGCTTTTCCACAAATTCATTTTCTTTTTTGTTTTTCTTTGTGTCTCCAGCTAGGGTAGTATTAGTTTCAACTTTAGTTGAATCATCCCTTTTTTTATATTTATTACCCTGTGTCACATTAGACTGAGGATCATCTTTTAGATGATCGGTTTCATGATTATTCAGTTTCTCTAATTCTTTTGCATTAGATGCTACGTTAGATCCAGTTTTCTTGTCTTCAGACCCTTTCTTCAGCCTGGTGGTCTCTACTTTACTGATGTTTTCCTTGACTTTGTCCACTTGCTCAGTGTCTGCCTTCTGTGTCCCTTTTGCTTTCTCATTAGATTCTAAAATAGAAAAGTACAATTCATGAGTTAATAAAAAATCAAATGAAATTGTTTTGAAAGAACAGTACAAACTCTTACTTACCTTTAAGACAATCACCTTGCTTACACTTACAGTCCAAACCCAAGAATCCTTGATGGCAAATACATTTTCCCTTTTCACATTTCCCATGGCCACTACAGTCATTTGGGCAGTTTGCAGAACATGGACCTGGAAACGAACCAGAACCATTGTGTCAAATCAGTAATGGATTGGTCTGAATGTATTAACATTTTTTGTAAGACGTACATTTCTCTATAAGTAAGGACATTTCTCTTTCCAGTTTGGCCACACGTCCTTTCAGAACAGTCATCTCTGTTTCACACTCCCCAGTACAGCCTCCAGGCAGCAGGCTGATCTTATGCGTCATCACCAGAGGAGCGCCAGGTCTCAACGTCACCTCCTGCCCCTTTGATTGGCTAGAGTCACAGTCTTCACTTATGACCAACTTGATAGGCTGGGAATTGGCAAGCTTTTCTTTGGTGCTAGGGCTAGGTGTTGAAGAAGTGTCATTTGTGGAGGCTGAGAACTTTTCTGTTGCAGAACCATCAGTTTTGTTGACTTTTGTTGGTGTTGATTGAACAGTTGGCATTTTGGTTGGAGAAGATTTGTCTTTGGACTTCTCATCACTTCTACCAGGGGGTTCAGCAACCTTAGTAGATGCAGGTTTGTCTTTGGACTTCTCATCACTTCTACCAGGGGGATCAGCAACCTTAGTAGATGCAGGTTTGTCTTTGGACTTCTCATCACTTCTACCAGGGGGATCAGCAACCTTAGTAGATGCAGGTTTGTCTTTGGACTTCTCATCACTGCTCTGAAGAGGATCAGCAACCTTAGTAGATGCAGGTTTGTCTTTGGACTTCTCATCACTGCTCTGAAGAGGATCAGCAACCTTAGTAGATGCAGACTTGGCTTTGGACTTCTCATCACTTCTACCAGTGGGATCAGCCAACTTTGCTGTAGGTGCACCACCAGCTGATGAAGATTTTCCTGAACGTGTGTGATTGGCAGTGTGTTGGGGATTTTTTTTGGCAATTGTACCAGATGGAGGAAGCTTTGTAGACATTGATGAAACATCTGGAGCTCTGGTGGGTGCAGGTCTGGTTTTGTTTGTCTTGAAATCACCAAATTTAGGCAGCTTATCTGGAATAGTTTGGTTGAGTTTGTCTTTATGTTTGTTTATGATGGGGCTGATAGTTGTAGTTGGCTGTACTGCAGCTGATGGAGTGGTTTGATTTACAGCCAGGCTGAGCCTCCTGTTGGTAGCCATCACATGGTTTGCAGTTACAACGACAGGAGTAGGTAAAGAGGTCAAATTGACTGTGTTTGGCTTTTGGGTGGGGTGCAAACTCTGTTTGGAAGGGTTAGCAGTGGTTTTTGGTTTTAAAAGAGTGAGAACAGTATTAGCTTTGATCACATTGCTTCCTCTGGCATCTCTCTTCTCATTGGTTGTGGTTTGAAAGGAGGGAAATGGGGTGAGAAGGAAGAGTAGTCCAAGAGTAAACAGCATTTTGAGCCAGCCACAGCACCATCCGTGTTTATCTGAAAAGTAGAAACTCCTTCCTCTACACCTTTTGGAGGAGCTCTTTCACAGAGTTAGCCAAGTATCTCCTAGAAATATAAAAGAAAACAAAGATCTGAATATCAACCAAGTTCAAAGCTGAAGAACTAATGCCTTGTTAGTTTTAATGCTTCAGATTCATAAGCCGGCTCTAACTGAACATAGGTGTTCTTTTCAGCTCTGGTTAGCCGCATCCACAGAGTTCCCTTTCACACTCTTAACATACAGTACCCACTCAGATCCTCTTATACCAGCCCGAGGTTTTATGACCAGCCTTATGGCTGATTCTGTTCCTGGCCAGAAACGGCAGGTACCACATACTTGGTTGTCTGGTCGGCTACACCAGACAGTCATGCTGTGATCTCGCATTTACTGACCGGTCGATTTTTTTTAATAACATACTTTCCTAAAATTTTCATAGCAAATTTGGCCCAAGAAGTAAATAGCACCGTGCTACGATATTATCCTAGAGTCATCACTCCTTGTTGTTCATGTGTGAGGAGAATATTGCAGTAAATTATGCATTTAACACAACTTTTAAAAACAGAACAAAACCAGAACATAAACATGGGAGTTTTTTCATTAAGCTGCTGGCCAAACCAATGGAAATCTTAATGAGCAGGAAATCCAGAAAGTCAGCTAGGGAGACTTTTAACTGGGGTCACTGCATGGAACTGTGGAACACTGTATACCTTTCAAGGTACAGAGAGTTATGCTGCACCCAAAACTCACCCTCCCAAAAAAACACACTTAAATGTTTCTTATTCATTCATTCATTCATTCATTCATTCATTCATTCAATAGCCCAAAGTTTACAGTTTTGTTGGGGAATTGTAGAATATGTCATTGATTGGCTGCTGTTTGACCTCTACTGAAATCTGGACCATCACAGTGTTAACAGCAATAATGTGAATCATACAAAAGATTAATATATTATCTAAATGTTAGTAATGAAATTAGGTTTGAAATAACACCAGCAAAAACAACTTTAAATGCATCAAAAACAAATCAACATTTTACATGTATTTTATTCCTAATAATCCATAAGCTCCACAAAGTAAAAGCTTTAGAAAGTTAGCAGATGGCATTTATGCAATTATTTCTTTCAAACTACTCCAGTTGTCTTTTTCAAAACCATAAAAAAAATTTAAAAAGAAACTTACCAGAATGGTTAATTATTTATGTTGTTTTACCTTGTTAGTCTATGCTCCTCCCTCCGTCAAAGGAAATGAAGTTCACGCAGACAGAGTGTGATGTTGGAGGAAAGAGCTGAGAAAGGACCTCCACTTTAAAGGAGGTGAGTGATGAAGCGTGCTTCTACTCCAGGACACACCTCTCATCTCACACACACACACGCACGCACGCACGCACGCACGCACGCACACACACACACACACACACACACACACACACACACACACACATCCCTACCACTCAACCACCATGAAACATATTTGCGTAGGACTTTGGGAGTTTCATTTCTACACTGACGCATGCGTCAAATGAGGGAAATAACATTTAGGATTCATTTTTTTTAACTTTTATACTCATTCTGTGGATAGGCTTATTAATGAATCAGATGATGTCGGTGGAAATAAAGGTTTAGGTTCATGTTTTTGTGTGTGATGTAACCCAGCTGTAACACAAAGCAACACCCTTTATTTCCTCCCCAGGTCTTAAGTGTGCATCTTGACTAACTCCAGATCCTGCAGTCATCAGCAGAGTCAAACATGAACCCTGATTCCTTTGGAATACAAAGCACAACACTGTCAGTATTCAGAGCTTCCTCTTGGATTCAGAATCCTCTTGCCATATGAATCGGCTGTTTGTTGGAGGTAATGAAATGTAACTACGTGTGAGTTATGCAAGCAACCGACTGTCCACCAGATTTAAGGAACGTTCTGTGCAGGCATCGCGTCTCTAACCAAACGGGCCACCCACCATCCCACCTTTTCTAAACCACATGAAAAAACTAAATAAAGGAGTAAACATGATATAGTGAGTTATCGTTATGTAGTGAGTGACATGTTCTCACCCTTGGACGTGAGTAGACACACGAGTTGAGATCATGTCCGCTTTTAATTTATATTCAAACCTAAAAATCAGGTTTGAGCTGGAACTGTTTTACTAACTCGATCAATGTATAAAATATTTTTGCAGAAGTTATGAAATCGCTGTGCTGATTTGTAAATTGTGCTAATATTAGAATCTGAAGCATGTCTATGTGCCCAATATCCTTATTCTGTTAGAGATAAATTTAGCAAAAATCCACTGGAAAGTCACGTAGAGTAAAAACAATAAATGCACACCCCTGTATTCGTTCTCATGACACCATACTTTAGTTTATAGATACAACCCCCAACAGAATGAGTGTTCACACTGGATCACTCCAAATGTAATGAGTCTTGATTTGTGCTCTTAACCAGAAATGTTTTAAAATTTTAGAAAAAACATTAAAAAAATGTAATAAAAGATGCCAAAAGTTCAAAGAGGAAGAAAGACGAAAACGTTAAATGTTTAACCCTCTGGAGGCTGGCGATGCAGATTAGCAACGTTAAAACTCACCTGCCTGCTTACTCCACACACGTGTTTCATGAGCATGTTTAACTCAGAAGTTCCCCTGAAGGACTCAGTTGTTCGTCCTATTATCAGAACTCATTTTGAGCCTGAGAGGGTAAAAGGAAAGAAAAACAAATGATGCCATTAAAATAACAACTGTGAGCGCCATTTAAAGAGATGAAATACTCATCAGTAACCAAGCAGCAAATGAACTTTTATTTTGACAGAATGTCCACACCAAATGTTTGTTTTTGTGATTTGTTTGTTTTTGTGAAATGAAAGAAGCTGAAAAAGACTTTTGACTGAAAGCAATAGATTCCAGAATGGGTGGCCTTTCTGGATCTGGCAGCAGCTTCCAGGAACAGTCGGCACCAGAGACCACCCCCATGCCGCTGACCCCGACCTGGCCTTTGGACAGTAGCTGGGGACATACCTTTAACAGCGTTAGCTGCTGCACACCTGAGAAAACACACCTGGTCATGCATTCATTTCTCCAGAAAGCTTACAGGTCTTGTTCAGGCTCACTTGTTTATAAAGGTAAGTCAGCATCTTAATCAAGGTGTGTTTTAATATAAGATACTCAATTACCAGATCAGTGATACATCTTACTACAACCATTCTCAGTGGACACTTCTCAACTAATCAACCAAGTAGTATCACAGGGTGAAGTCGTGCAGGAACACCTCCTGACAAACCTCCACACACCCTGACCCGACTTTACCATGAGTCCAATCAAAGATCACAAGTGTACTTGTATTACTCTTGACAAAGTATTGATTACTTTGTGAAAGTTTTAGTAAAAAGGTATTTATCGCACATGAGTGGTTGGCTGCTGACAGTGCACCAAAATATTTGAGAAATCTCCGTATTTATTTGCACTTTATTCATCTGACTTTAATGAAATGTCTAATGGTGAAGCCGGAACAGAGCGGGCTTTGACCTGGCTGTGATTGAAGTGACAGTCAGTCCCCCATGTTGCTTACGTTGGACTTAGACGCAGAGATTAGAATAATATGAGCACATAAGCCTTTGCTTGTTTCTCAGCAACAAGCCCCTCGCTCCCGCCTCCGCCCTTCATCATGAGTATCCAGCCACACATGTCCTATCTAACCACATTTCAGAAGAGACATTGGCACACTGTTCTGGGGAAATTTTTATCCTTATGAGGGAAATGATTATTCCAAACCTTGTATTCCAATATGAGCAAGTCAATAAGCCTCATGTAGCCAAAACCACACCCTCCCACCTCTTACAGAAGTAAGCAGGAAGGGGGTTGGGTTGAGCACAGAGACCCTTCTCAGAGCGTTTGCTGCCCGTAAAAGCGAAAGAAAACATAAAAAAATAAGTGCATTTGACAGGAAAGCTAAATCAAACCAAAGGAATCATTCTGGGGAGACATGAAAGAGTAAATGCACATTTCAGAGCAGACCCTTTTCTTGCTAACTTGAGTTTAATGTTGAGTTAGAATCTCAGCAGTTACAAGCAAACAAAGACATCAACCAACATTTATTTTGGCTTATTTGTAACTAATAAATGTGCCAAGTTTAAAGAACGATCTTTCTGAAACGATGAAGAACGCAGTTAGACTGAATCATGGACATAAATGACTTGATTTATTCTGAAGAGAGGAAAATTATCATGTTCTCTATTTTTGAAAGTCTGGTGACCACACACACACACACACACAAACACACACATGCACGCACGCACGCACGCACGCACGCACGCACATACACACACACACACACACACACACCACCACCACCACCACCACTGAAGCCATATGTGTACTACTTCAGTGGCCTTACCCTGTTGCTCTTGTTTTGTATGTTTAGTACTGTCCACTGGATAGATCAGGGTCATGGTTTATAATGACATCAGGAAGATAAAATGTCACCAAAAGAGCCTTTGTGCTGCAGCGGTGATCTGGACTGCAGCCTTTCATCTCTCACTGTGTGCAGCCCATGAGCTTGTAGTCCTCGATGAAATTGTTAAACTGCTGACAAGGATCTCTATTGGCAGACTTTTTGCATTCCTCGGTCAGAGGCCTTGGTTCTACCCAGGTGTTTGATTCCAGCAGGTATTGCATCCTAGAATGACAGTGAGCAGAAAGTGTAACTCACTCACTTTATAATCATGTTTGCATTTCTGTAACTGATTGTACTTACTCTCCATGTGAGTCTTTAGTGAGGCCGTCTTTACCCATGATGAGATACTCTCTCCCTAACTGAAGCTCTCCTTTGCACTGAAGCCTTCTGGCAAACACTCGAACTGAACTCACGCTCACATGCAGATCTCCATCTAGTAAACAAATGATCACACTTATCTGTATTAAAACATCTTGTTAAACGAGCACACATTTTAGCATCCAATAAGACTTGTTGTTTACTTACAAAGTCTGAGGACATCAGTTATGCAACCTTTGTACAGCTCAAAGTTGCTCTTCAGCGAAACGTTCTGGATCTCAACCATGTATGCTGCAATGCAAAATGAATCAGCCATGATGAACAGAACAACACATATGCACTTGAGGGTATCATTATTTATCATTAATGATCAATTAAAATGAATATAGAAAATCTTTTAGGTGACTACTTCACATCTGGAGAAAGCCTTTGGTGTGAGATACTGACCATAGTCCACTCTGGGGAAGAAGCACGCATGCTCGGAACGCTGCGTCTTTGAGATTTTTTTACCTCTGTCTGATTTGAATGTGTCTTGCATTTTATAACAGGATCCTAAAAGGAAAATAAAAACAGACCAATAAAAATATTTATGCAAACATGAAAGGTTAAATTATGTTTATTCAGTAGTCAGTATGGGTCTAAATAAATACATCATGCCGAGATCACATTACTCCAGTGCTGTTTCCTCTGCACTGGCTCCCGGTGCAATATCGAGCTAAGTTTAAGATCTTAACTCTTGTTTTTAAGGCCCTCCAGGGCAGTGCCCCATCTTACATTACTGCACTTTTGCACAAGTATGTTCCATCTTGGTCCCTTCGCTCAGCCGAGCAGGGACGTCTGGTGGTCCCCCGGTCGAAATATCAATCATGGGGTTATCGTGCATTTTCTGTTTAGGCTCCAACTGTGTGGACTGAATTGCCATTGAGCATTAGGCAGGCGCCGTCCCTTCAAGTTTTAAGTCTCGTCTAAAGACTCATTTTTATTTGATTGCTTTTCAGCGCTAGGGTTCTTTGAATTGCCCTGACATTATGGTTTTTAATACTTCTTCTTTTGACCAGGATGCTTGATCTTATGTTGTCCACCATTTGTTTTTAATTGATTAGTCTCATTCCGTTACCTCTCTGTATTTGTAATATTGCTTGCTTGTTATTTTATGATTATATGTTTTTATCTTGCTCTTATGCCCATGTACTGGGAATGTTTTTATGATGCTGTTCAGCACCTTGGGGTTATGATAACGTTGCGGAAGGTGCTCTACAAATAAAATCTATTGATTGATTGATCTAAAAAGTCCCAATGAGGCATAGAGACTTTGATCATTATTCAGCCAACTACAAAATGTGCATTTACCTGGTATTGTGCTGCTATTTTAAAATTATATTGATGTGTAATTGCAGTTTACGATGTTGTGCTTGTAGACAGTGTAGAGATTACATTAGATCAGGGTTTCCATAGAACAGGAAAAGGTAGTATATTAGCTCCAATGACCTTGCAATGCTTGGTTCATTTACTAAAACACAGAAAAGAGTTGTTCTTTACCTTGTTTTGCTAAAGTTTTGGCTAATTACTGTAGCTATCCTCAGAGCTGTGTCAATTTTGGTAGTGCCTCTTGCCTCTCATTTCATCTGTGGGCAGCAGAGGACGGTGTCGCCCTCTGCTGCCCACGCCCTCCTCGTTGATGACACAGCCCCATGTGTGATCTAATGTGTCAACTCCATCGTCCCTGTTCATTGTTCCAAGTCCACGTCTCCTTATTTCCATCGCTTCTTGAATCCATCTTTAACATTTTTGTTGTTCGGTGTTTATGATCCGTGTTCAGTCCCAGTACATTATACGGTTTTCCCTTGTGTAGTGGTCTGTTATGGCTGATTTCTTTATTGTACTTTCTGCTTCCTGTTTTGCTGCTCTTGCGTGTGTAGCCTCCAGAAATGGTCTGTTTTTCAATCTACAGGTCACCTCTTCAGTATCGGTCATTTGAGCCCTTTTCAGATAGACATTCTGGAACATTTGTGGACAATTCAATCCGGTTTTTAACCGGAACTGTGTTTTCAGACACACCACTTTTGTACCGGAACTTGTCCTTTCGTCTGCGTTCACACAGCAGGGAAAAGTTCCAGATGTCTGACGGCAGCGGCGGGGGGGTGGAGGGTGGGGGTGGGTGGGGGGGGGGGGGGGTAATCGGACTTATGTTAAGAGGAAGAAAATATCATTTCTATAGCGCCTCTCAAGATAAAAATCACGAGGCGCTTAAGCATAATTCTGCGCACACGAAGACGCATAAGAGACCTGGATGATGAAGCTCAATGGTTAAAGGAATCACTGAAGCGGTGTGAAGCGCTCCGTCGCGCGTCTAGGCGGTACCGTAGGAGGCGAGCTGCCGTGAATCGCCGCATGCTACAGCAGCGGGCTATCTAGGGGCGCACAGCGTCCCCCGGTCCCCTCCTCCTCCCCCTCCCCCTTGTCCGGAACTCTACCTCACCAGTCTGAATCAGCCACCCTGTCCGTAACAAGTCCGGACCTGTTACTAGGGGCTTCGTCCGGTTAAATTCCGGAACACGATATCCGGATGTTTGTATTCAGACACAAAGGTCTTACGGACAGAGTTCGGAACATTTCCATTTTTCATGGCCTGTCTGAAGGGGGCTTTGGAGACACTGACCCACCACCCGCAGGAGGAACATGAAGGGTCTGGTGCAGTGTGGATCAGGTGGCAGACCAAGGCGGGAGCCTTGGCGGTCCAATACCCGGACAAGGAAACTGGTTTTTGGGACATGGAACATAACCTCGCTGGTGGGGAAGGAGCAGGAGCTTGTGGCAGAGGTTGAGCGGTACCAGCTAGATATAGTCGGACTCACCTCGACACATAGCATTGGCTCTGGAACTCAAGTCCTTGAGAGGGGTTGGACACTCTCCTTTGCTGGAGTTGCTCCGGGTGAGAGGCGGAGGGCTGGAGTTGGCTTTTTGTTAGCCCCAAGACTCTCTGCCTGTGTGTTGGGGTTTACCACGGGAGACCAGAGGGTAGCTTCCCTGCGCCTTTGGGTCGGGGAACAGGTCCTGACTGTTGTTTGTGCTTATCCGCCAAATATCAGTTCAGAGTACCCACCCTTTTTGGAGTCCCTGGGACTAGTGCTAGATAGTGTTCCATCAAGGGACTCCATTGTCCTGCTGGGGGACTTCAATGCTCACGTGGGCAATGACAGCATGACCTGGAGGGGTGTGATTGGGAGGAACGGCCCGCCTGATCTGAACTCGAGTGGTGTTTCGTTATTGGACTTCTGTGCAAGCCGCAGTTTGGCCATAACGAACACCATGTTCGAACATAAGGATGCCCATCGGTACACTTGGTACCAGGGCAGCCTAGGTTGCAGGTCGATGATAGACTTTGTAGTCTTATCATCTGACCTACGGCCGTATTTTTTGGTGGACACCCGAGTGGAGAGAGGAGCGGAGCTGTCAACTGATCACCACCTGGTGGTGAGTTGGATCAGATGGCAGGGGAAGATGTCGCGTAGACCTGGCAGACCCAAACGCATAGTGAGGGTCTGCTGGGAACGCCTGGCAGAAGAACCTGTTAAGACGGTCTTCAACTCCCACCTCCGACAGAGCTTTGACCGCATCCCGAGAGCAGTGGGGGACATTGACTCCGAGTGGGCCTTGTTCCACTCTGCAATTGTTGAGGCGGCTGTTGCTAGCTGTGGTCGCAAGGTAGCCGGTGCCAGTCATGGTGGCAACCCCCGTACCCGCTGGTGGACACCAGAGGTTCGGGGAGCCGTCAAGCTGAAGAAGGAGGCCTACAGGGCGTGGCTGGTCTGTGGGTCTCCGGAGGCAGCAGACAGGTACCGGATAGCCAAGCGGGGTGCAGCAGTGGCAGTTGCCGAGGCAAAATCACGGGCGTGGGGGGACTTTGGTGAGGCCATGGAGAAAGACTATCGATCGGCTCCAAAGAGGTTCTGGCAAACTGTCCGGCGCCTCAGGAGAGGAAGGCAGCAACTTGCTCAAACTGTTTACAGGGTTAGGGTTAGCCGTGGTGTGGAGTGTGTCGAGTTTGGTGGCAGGAGAATCTCGTCTCTGCTTTTTGCGGATGATGTGGTCCTCCTAGCTTCATCCAGCTCTGACCTTCAACTCTTGCTGGGTAGGTTCGCAGCCGAGTGTGAAGCGGCTGCGATGAGGATCAGCACCTCCAAATCTGAGACCATGGTTCTCCACCGGAAAAGGGTGGCTTGCCAACTCCGGATCGGGGGAGAAGTCCTACCTCAAGTGGAGGAGTTTAAGTATCTCAGGATCTTGTTCACGAGTGAGGGTAGGAGGGATCAGGAGATCGACAGGCGGATTGGTTCAGCGTCTGCAGTGATGCGGACGCTGAGCCGATCTGTCGTGGTGAAGAGGGAGCTGAGCCAGAAAGCCAGGCTCTCGATTTACCGGTCGATCTACGTCCCAATCCTCACCTATGGTCATGAGCTTTGGGTAGTGACCGAAAGAACGAGATCGCGGATACAAGCGGCCCAAATGAGTTTCCTCCGTAGGATGGCCGGGCTCAGCCTGATGGGCTCGACACACGGGAGGCGACATCGCCTCTCCTCCATTCATTTTCAATGAGAGATGCGCGACAAAGCGATAATCGCGGGTCTCCCTACTACCAAGCGAAACGCAAAAAACGTGCGTGTGAAATTTTGCGCACGTATCATGCACAGGAGACCCAGCGACGCGATCCCAGAAAGTTGAAACATTTTCAACTTTTCATCGCTGTCACTCGGACGAGGACCAATCAACGGAGGTTTCATTCATTGACCAATGAGCGGACATAATGCTCCGCACATCTCCGAGCAAACGTGGAGGATAAGTTGATTATTATTATGTTTTATATAGTAAAATCAGAAGTAAGATTTCACATAATTCTAGCAGCACCTTGTGAAACATCATATCTACCATTTTTTAACTCATAATAATAATAATAATAATAATAATAATAATAATAGCCTTTATTGTCATTGTACAGGATACAACGAAATTGGAGTGCCACTCCCTTGGTGCACAATACAATAATACCTCTAAATATAAAGGTCACCTAAAACAAAACAATAGTAAGTAACAAAACAATAGTAAGTAACTAACAACACAATAGTAAGTAACAAAAACACTAGTAAGTGACAAAATAATAGAAAGTAATATATGCCGACTAGCACACTATATACAGAACAGCAGCTACCATATCATGTAAAAAAAAAGGCATTAGAATAGCAGCATAGTAGTTGATGGTGACCTTGACAGTCGCTAAGCAGTTTTAATTGTTTTTATGCTTATTCACTATAGAGATCGCCCTGGGAAAGAAGCTATCCCTGAATCTGTTTGACCTTGTTTTATGTGACCTGTACCGTCGACCTGATGGTAATAGTTGAAAGACGTGATTGCTGGGGTGAGATTGGTCCTTGATGATATTGCTCGCTCTGCTGAGGTACCGAGAGTTTGCAATGACCTCCAGGCTGGACAGAAAGCAGCCAGTGATCTTCTGGGCTGTGTTGATGACCCTCTGCAGTACTTTCCTGTCTGCAGCTGAGCACCCTGCGTACCATGCTGTTATGCAGTACGTTATGATACTTTCTATGGTGGCTCTGTAGAAAGTAACCAGCAGCCTCTCCTCCAGGTTGTTCCTCCTGAGCACTCTCAGAAAGTGGAGACGCTGCTGGGCCTTTTTTACCACTGCCGTGGTATTTGCTGTCCAGGAGAGATCCTCAGAGATCTGCACGCCCAGAAACCTCATGGAGTGCACCCTCTCCACACAGTTTCCATGAATGTACAGTGGGGCTGGGTCTGCTCTGCCCTTCCTGAAGTCGAAGATAATTTCTTTAGTTTTCGTGGTGTTCAGTTGGAGGTTATTTACTGAACACCACTCCGTCAGTCTGTTGACCTCATCTCTGTAGTCCGTCTCGTCCTCCTTCGAGATGAGTCCGACCACGGTGGTATCATCCGCAAACTTTATAATGGTGTTCGAGAGATGGAAAGGGGAGCAGTCAGATGTGTAGATTGTAAACAGGAGTGGACTCAAAACACATCCTTGTGGAGCCCCGGTGCTGAGTGTGATGGTGCTGGATTGGTGTGGCCCGAGTCTGACAGACTGTGATCTATTTGTCAGAAAGTCCTTAATCCAGAGGCAGATGGGGGTGGAGAGTCCCAGGTGAGACATTTTCTGGACCAAGACCTCAGGGATTATGTGATTGAATGCTGAGCTGAAGTCCAGGAAGAACATTCTCACATAGCTTCCTCTGTGCTCCAGGTGACTCAGTGCAGTGTGGAGCGCTATGGTGATAGCATCCTCGGTGGATCTATTTGTCCTGTAGGCAAATTGATGGGGGTCCAAAGTGGGAGGCAGACTGGCCCTGATGTACTGACAGACCAGCCTCTCCAGGCACTTCATCACTACAGGCGTAAGTGCAACAGGCCTGTAGTCACTCTGAACCGCTTAAATAACCTTAATTCCCTCCAACCTGATACAGCCAAACAAAATAACGGAAGTTTCGATTTCGCCATGGAACAGAACGCGTAGACGGCAAATCCGCTGGCCGCTGCCTCGGGTCGCCTCCCGTGTGTCAGGTAATAAAAGAGATGGCGACAAATTTCGCTGATCATGGTCATTTGTCACCTCCTGTGTGTCGAGCCCATTAGAGATAGGGTGAGGAGCTCGGACATTCAGGAGGGACTCTGAGTAGAACCGCTGCTCCTCCGGATCGAAAGGAGTCAGTTGAGGTGGTTTGGGCATCTGGTCAGGATGCCTCCTGGACGCCTCCCTGGGGAGGTGTTTCGGGCATGTCCTGCCGGCAGGAGGCCCCCGGGTCGACCCAGGACACGTTGGAGAGGTTACATCTCCAATCTGGTCCGGGAAAGCCTTAGGGTCCTGCCAGAGGAGCTGGTGGAGAAGGCCGGGGAGAGGACGGCCTGGAGCTCCCTAGTTGGGATGCTGCCCCTGCGACCCGGATAAGTGGAGGAAGACGACGAAACTCAAAAAGCAAACTTTAAAATGTTTAACATAAATTTTGAGAACACACGTATGACTTACTTTCTGCACACTGGCAAACATCCTCTGAGCACAGTTTGGAGACCATCTTACTTCTTTTGGGGGCAGAGTAGAACACAGTGCACTTCCTGTCTGAAAGGAAAGCACCAATATCCCTTAAATGTATGTAATTTTGAATAAAGCTTCCTTTTTTGTTTCCTTTTAATCCCAATAGACACAGAAATGGAAACGAAAGGAGGGAGAAGAAAGAAAGAGAGGTGGGGGAAGTAAGTTCAGAAAAATAGACAATACAAGAGGTACGAGAATCTACTTCTAGACCTGCAGAAAGAGAGAAAAATTGGACACCCACAAAAATCTAATAGAACCCTGATATCATAACAAATAGGAATATATGACCATTTTGATGTTTACTGAAAAGCACACGGTAATAATTCACTTATGGTACATTTAGTATCAACCACTGCCTAAGGCAGCCATACTTGTGAGCACCTGTGTGTGTGTACACATGCTTGCGTGATTGAGGTGTCTTTGTAGGAGTGTCCAATTTCCTTTCAGAGAAATTGTTTGAAAATATAAAAGACTGACTTACTTGGTTCATAATAATCATAGAAGACAGCTGGAGCAGGCTGCAGAAGGCCAATTGGTACTAACTGTACAGCATCAAAACTGATGCATTCATGTTGCTGCAGCAGCTGTAAGAGAAAATCTGTTAAAGTTTTTGGAAAATGTTCATCTTTCCTGTGCAGGTTAAGCCTTACCTCATTGTAATAGATCAGCACTCTTCCAAAAGATAACTCATAGTGGCTAATGTACTGTTCCGGCGGCATCTTGAGCTGAGAAGAAGAGAGGTTATTATTATCTGAATTATGTTTATTATTTTCATTTCTGCTTTGTGTTTGGTTTACAGAACATGGCACCTAAGTAAAAGGCTTTTCTGGAGAAATGTAATTTCACTTTGTAGATAAATGTACATGTGTATATAAAAAACAAGTGCATCACTCAGTAGAGCCTTGAATATATTCATAATACAAGCATGTTTCTTATCAATGTCCTTCCTGAACAAGTAGTGTTTTTAGAAGATAAACTAAGGAAATTACATTACACAGAACGAAAAAAAAAATACATGAATAATAATAATAATTGGGGATGTTCAATAATGGCTTATTTTCTTTTTCTTTTTTATTCTCTCTCTCTCTCTCTTTCTCTCTCTCTCTCTCCATATATATGTATATACACATATACGGAGAGAGAGAGAGAGAGAGAGAGAGCATCAAGGCCTGCATTGTGTATGTAGCTTAAATCAAATGACTCAGACTAGTGCAAGACAATGTGATCTCAACATTAAAAGCTGAAAATAATCCTTTTGATATTATAACCCTAATCCTGTTTCCCTGCAGCAAGAAGGTTGCAGGTTCAAGTCCTGGCTGAGGCTTTTCTGTGTGGAATTTCCAGTGCGTGGTTTTCTCAGGGTACTATATAGAACTGAATGATCCTTTGTTTTGTGATCAAAACTGCAATTTTAGACAACGTGACCATGAGATCATCAAAGCATACTTTTTTGGCAGTGCTTCTGACTGACCTAGATCAGTTGTGTCAATTAATTTACACGTCCAGGGTGTTTCCCAGGTTTTAAAAGTGTTACAGTGGTAGGAGTGCTAAATTTTTTTCTTTTTATCGCCCTACTGCTGTCAATACCGCCGTGCTGAGCCAAAAGGAGAGAGTCTCTCATTAACAAACCAGTCTGTTGTCAGTGAAGGAAATAATAGCCAATCACCCAAAGACCTGCATGTATTAACGGACCTATGCTTCTGAAACAAATTCCTGCTGACTTTGTTTTTTGCCAAATACAGGCATGACCAAGTGACTGTCGGAGTGACTGAGAAAGATTTCTGATTGGTTAATCTTTGTAACGTGATTGTGTTGCACGCACTTGCACAGATGATTCTCTTCCTAACATCTGGAAGGATGGTTCGAGAGCAGGCTAGGTTTTTGCTCATCTGCAGGAAATATCAACAACAAAGTTCTACAGAAAGTGGCTAAAGGTAATCAGAAATGTTGCTAGGTTTGTTGCTAGGTGCTTTTTGGGAAAAAAAACATTAGGGGGTCTAAAAAGTTTGCAACACTGTTCAACGGTAATGCAGGTGTTGTACAGGTCTGTTGTGGTGAAGAAAGAGCTGAGCTGAAAGGCGAAGCTCTCCATTTCCCGGTTGATCTACGTTCCGACTCATCTATGGTCACAAGTTTTGGGTAGACCAAAGAACAAGATTACAGACATGCAGTCTGGGCTCTCCCTTAGTCTAAATTTAAAAAAAGACAGAAAACTACAAACCCTCTCCAGATCTTCCATTTTAGCTTCAAATCCACTGAGTAAAGTGATGTCAGCAATGGCCATTCCTGTAAGACTGTTGTTAGCACTGTTGAGTGTGGGAAAAAGACACACATCAGAAACAATGATCTTTTATTTTGAAACTCGCTTTGAACTTTTACAAGGTGGAGTGGATCTTTCTCTAACCTGACACAGACTGTGTAAGTAACAGTGCTGTCTGACTTTAGCTTGTTGTCAACGTCTCTCCTGCTTCGTGGGAGAACAGCGAACTCGTCGGAGACATGTCTCGCTACTCGTGCTGACGTATCCTCTGTGTCATCATAATCTTCATAGTAGTCATAATTTTCTTTAATTGGAGCTGAAAAAGTGGAAATGAGTGTAAGTGTACACTTTTATGATGGGGTGTGATTTGCTGCAAACCTCACCTGTGTATTGCACTTTCCCCTCCACTTTAACACTGATAGACAGGTGAGAACAATAATCCACAGGGTCCAAAACATAAAAAGCCTTCACGCTCTGCAAGGAGGACATTTGCTGTAAATTCCTGATGTCATGTATTAAATAAAGAAAAAGTAATGAAAGAAACTCACTTTTACTTTGAAGGATCCTGTCCCTGTTAGTTGCATTTCAATCATGTTTCCTGTAAGTTTCTGGGACGACAGGGAAAAATGTTAATAGCTGTAATAAAATCTAAAATGACAAAGTATTTGTTTGAGAATGCTTATACCTTTAAGTCTGTTTCCACCTTTTCTTTTTTGTTTCTTATTTCAAGGTCAGTAATTTCAGATTTTCCTGGAACACGTAATGTTGCTTTCATATTTGCATCTGAAGTGGGTCTTTTTAGCTCATATTCTGACAAGGCCTCCAGCGCCATGACAGTGTCCTTTGCATATTACAAAAAACAATGTAAAAATAAGTTTCATTTTAAAAATGGACAAAACATGACACTATATCATAGGACTAATCACCTGTGTGGTTTTGTAGCCTCCATGGTAGTTTTCTTGGGTGGTTAACCAGCAGGCTATTTTCTCTGCCCATTCGTACTCTTCAAGCTCCACAGCAGTTAGAAGGGCATAGGCTGTAGTCTCCACAGTGATGGCATCTGCCTCCTTTTTATTTTTTGGACTGGGATTTGACGTCCACATGTAGCAGTGATTCTCACCTGAAATTACTAAACAAAACAAAACACATACAGAAATGAGCAGAATTGGTACATGGAACTGTTCTTAGACATGAGTATTTGAGCATCCTATTGAGAATGATACACGTGCATCTCACTGTCTTCACATGCCACACCTCCATGCTGACAAAGCAGTGGACCACCAGAGCACCCCCCCGACAGAAGAATGAAGTGACACGAGGCAGACACCCCCCCCCCCCCCCCCATAGGCAACATAGGGATGCTGCAGGGACCACACACACACACACAGCCCTCCGTTTCACGCCTGAGCTTTGCCTAAAGTTGGCAGGCCGAGATATATACTTATGAAACAAGAGTAAGCTTTTAAATGATTCCAGAGATAAATTTGTAACAATGATTTAGTTTTCATTTTAGCAATTTCCACAACAGAGTCATTGATGAGTACACAGACTCAGTCTGCGGATGTATCAGAAAATGCGTGGAAGATGTTGTCCCATCCAGAACAGTTAAATCCTTCCCAAATCAAAAACCCTGGATTAATGAAAATGTGCGAACGGCGCTGGCGGCGTGGAGCACCGCCTTTGCCTCCGCGAACACATCAAACTACAAACACGCACATTACCAACTCCGGAAGACGATCAAAGCAGCCAAATGTGAGTACAGGGACAGGGTGGAGCAACAGTTTGACAACCCCCGGAGTATGTGGCAGGGACTAAACACAATCACAGACTTTAGAGGGAGAACCAGCACACCGCAGACCACAGCCTCTCTGTGTGAGGATCTAAACGTATTCTATGCCAGATTCGACACAGCGAACACCATGAGACCGGACAGTGAGCGCACCGCGGATGACGTCAGTGCGCTCACTGTGTCTGAAGATGATGTGCGGAGGTGCTTCAGGAGGGTGAACGCACGCAAAGCTGCTGGTCCGGACGGGATTCCCGGCCGCGTCCTCAGGTCATGCGCGGCTCAGCTGGCTGGAGTGTTTACACACATCTTCAACCTTTCCCTCTCTCTGTCTGTAGTCCCAGCCTGCTTCAAAATGGCCACCATTGTCCCTGTACCCAAATCCTCCACCGTCTCCTCACTGAATGACTGGCGACCTGTAGCCCTGACCCCCATCGTGAGCAAATGCTTTGACTAGTTGGTCAGGGACTTCATCTGCTCTGCACTGCCCGATTCACTGGACCCTCTACAGTTTGCATACCGCCACAACAGGTCCACTGATGATGCCATAGCCCTGACACTCCATGCTGCCCTGTCACACCTGGAGAAGAGAGACATGTATGTGAGAATGCTGTTTGTATATTACAGCTCAGCATTCAACACCATTGTTCCATCGAAGCTGGATAGGAAACTGCAGGATCTAGGACTGAGCAGCTCCCTCTGCAGCTGGATCCTTAACTTTCTGTCTGACAGACGCCAGGTGGTCAGACTGGGCAGCACCACCTCATCCCCCGTCACACTGAACACTGGTGCTCCACAGGGGTGTGCGCTGAGCCGTCTCCTGTACTCACTCTACATCTACGACTGCACGGCCACTAGAAACTCCAACATCATTGTGAAGTTTGCGGACAACACTACAGTGGTGGGTCTCATCACCAACGACGATGAGACGGCCTACAGGGAGGAGATCAGCGCCCTGGCCCACTGGTGTCAGGACAACCGTCTCACCCTCAACGTCACAAAGACAAAGGAGTTGATAATGGACTTCCGGAGGTGCAGAGGAGTACACACCCCCATCACCATCAACGGCGACGCTGTGGAGAGGGTGAGCAGCTTCCGTTTCCTTGGAGTTCTGACTGAGGATCTTACGTGGTCAGTGCACACGAACAATACAGTGAAGAAGGCACAGCAGCGCCTCCTCTTTCTTAGGAGACTGAAAAGATTTGGCATGAGCCGCCGCATCCTCAGGACCTTCTATCGCTGTGCCATTGAGAGCATCCTCACTGGATGCATCTCCGCCTGGTATGGAGACTGAATTCAGTCGAAGGAATCTTCCCGCTGATCTGAATCTGATGCGGCTCTCTGTGCTTGTAAAATAATGAATGGACATTTAAATAAAATGCTTTATATTTTACTGCATTAATTTTACATCTGTATGTCAATTCTATGTAAAGATTGTCTGCGTAAACCTGAACAGTTCCAACCCGGTCTTACTGTGAGACCGGGTTGACGCGTCACGCTTGTGCGTAATCATAGGTGCTTCCTGAGCTGAAGTGGATGTGAGATTCTGGGATTCTCCTCAGACGGCTCCTGGATGTGTCGCCACATTGGAGACAGGAACAAGCACTATTCAGCCAAAGTTTCATAATCAGGGAACATTTTCTAAGTGACAAGTCTCGCTTCAGTCGGAGGAATCTTCCCGCATGCGCTCTGGTTCTGCGACGTGCTCCAAGCCAATCTCCACAACTTCAGCTCGCTGTGCACTTATGCGCTGACAGTGAGCTGCGCTGAGCAGTGTACAGCTCAGATGTTCAGATGGGAATCTTTTCTTGGGTGATTTAGCTACATCTGTGATGTGTGTAATGAATAAAATGTCAGTTCGTTTGCATGCGTCGGGGTAATTCTTTCTATTCTTTCTCAGTCAAAATAAACGGTCGAATATGGGAACTGTCCGGTCAACACAACACAAGCCCTGCTTTTGACTGTTTTGTTTTCTTGTGAAAATTGTTGGAAAGAGATATAATTTAACTTGATTACCAACAGAGCCAGTGCGCCGTTATCTCTGTGACGGTAAATGAGGGAAAAACAAATTGATCGGATCCTGCACGTCTTTTAACACATTGGTCAGGATTGACGCACTTTGTTTTCATTTAGTTGGTTAAAAAAAATGTCGGGCTTGGGCTCGGGTCGGGCCAGAGAATCCTGAAAACCTTTTCGGGCCAGGTTGGGCTGGGGCTCCACCCCCTCGGGCGGGGCCGGACACGGGCTCAGATTTTAGGCCGTGCAGGGCTCTAGTGAGCATTCTCTTCACAAGACTGTCCGACAACGGAAGAGTGTCTTCAGTCAGAGGCTTCTTCAGTTTGGCTGCAACACTGACCGCTACTGGAGATCTTTCCTGCCAACAGCCATTATAATATACAACAACTCTTTGATGACTTGATTATTATTATTATTCTGAGCTACTACAGCAATCAGTTTCCCTCTGGTATTAATAAATTATTTTTGAACTAAATTGAATTGAACAACAATGTTAGTTTCATGGATGACGACAACGCCATCAATTTACGAAAGGCAGGGAATTCAGACACCATGCCATGTAGCTAGCTATGGATTTAATGAAGGCCTTTGATACTGTAACCAGGGATTCCCTAAGTGTGGTGCGCGCACCCCTGGGGATGCGAGAGCTGTCGCTAGGGGGTGCACGAGGTGAAAAGAGTAATGGCTGCGGAGCTCAGAGAAGTCTGTCACATGTCACCACTAGCGTAGCCAGAAACTCATTTGTGGGTGGGCCTAAGAAAAAGTAAGTGGGCCCAATAAATGCAATTGAAAACAAGTATATTTGTGTGTGTGTGTGTGTGTGTGTGTTTGTGTGTGTGTGTGTGTGTCCTCCGTATGTGCCCTAGCTTCATATTAACAATGCGCCGAGCTTCAGTGCTCTGACCTGCGCACGCCGATATGTTCCGTATTTGATCATTTTTATCGGTGTTGGAGAAATCTGAAGGTGGTGAGTCATTCTGGCAGATTGTAATTAACACCTGTCTCATGCAGGTGTTCTGACATTGTAAACCTCACACACAGAACATTGTGGATGTAACTAAATAAATCAAGACATGATTCCCATCTGAGCATTTTAGCATTATTATATTATTATATCAGCACACTGACCGTGGGACAGCATTCTAAACGTGTCAGCCTATTAACAGCGCGCTGAAGATCTGAAGTTCAGAGTGCGTCTGTCAGAGGTCAGACGCGTTCCAGCGGAACCACGGCTCACGGGTGCACATGTGAGCACATCTGGGCTGGGCAGAAGTAATTTTACAACATTGGTTTAAATGGCGCCAATAACGAGACGCGGTGACTGGAGCGGCTCATGGAGCTGCGCCGCACACACACACGCGCACACACACACACACACACACACATACAGATTCAATAAGCACACGCGCCGCGCCGTAAGGCTAGAGTTCCACAAGGATCAATTTTGGGACCAATACTATTTTCTATTTACATAAATAACTTACCCACCGTATGCCCTGAACTTAACACAGTTATGTACGCTGCTGATACAGTGATTTTTGTTCAGGGTAAGGACAAGAAAATTGTTGCAGAAATGCTTAAGTCCAAAATCCAAACCTGGCTAAGGGAACACTGTCTGTCCCTGAACAAAAAAAAAAAAAAAAAAAAAAAAAAAAAACTGTGTGCATGATGTTTACAAAAAAACCTGTAAAATCTGCTCTGGTTAACCCTCCCACTGTCTTTAGGGGTGACACCGTGAGGAAAGTTGACCATTGAGCAGGGTTGATGGTTTATCCCTTGAGGTTCACGTGGCAGGGGTGAGGTGGCGCTAACTCCTCACCCCTGCCACGCAGACCCAAGGGATAAACCATCAACCCTGCTCAATGGTCAACTTTCCTTGCAGGTTCACACCCATTAGGACAGTGGGAGGGAAAAGAAAAGCATGGTCTGGGTCTTCAGTGTTCCTGGAAGCTGAGGAATTGGAGTTGGTCACAAATTATAAATATCTGGGTGTCACCTTGGACTGCAACCTTAAATTCAAAATACATATCAATCAAGTAATTAAACCTCTAAATTGTAATCTGCATAATTTTAAAGAAATGAGACATTTGATGTCAGAAGAAGCAGCTAAACTGTATCTTAACTGCATGATTTTATCCCACATTGAATATTGTTCCACAACATGGTCATTTACCAGTGACTGCATTAAAACCAATTAAACAAATATATAAAAAAGCAATAAAGACTTTAGACCAAAAACCACCATCCTATCACATTTGCAAGATTTTAGAAAAACATAACTTCTTAACCTTTAATGATTTTATGACTTTTAAAACTTCTGTCTCATTTACAAATCGCTGACAGGCAATGCACTGGCACCCCTACTGGAATACTTTAAAAGGCAAAAAGTACCAGACATGCCCGATCGACTAGGTTAAATTTAGGAAAACTACATTTGCACAGAATACTTTATCAATTAAGGGATGCAGTGGGTGGAATAAGTTACCGGCTAATATAAGAGACAGTCCTTCCTTCCATATTTTCAAAAGTCAGTTGAAAACATGGCTACTTCGAAATCGTCAATGCAACATTAATCATCTGGTTTTATCGATACTTGTACTTCTTGTTGTCATTTAATCCTTGAAATCTAATGATTTTTCTCATGTCTGAATTTGATTCTTTTTTATGCATGTATGGAGAATTTAAGGAGTTATGTTATTCAGATGTTTTAGCTATCTTTGTTTATAATTCTTATTTTGTATGTTTTTTACCTTGTTTTAAATAGTAATGTCTGTGCTTTATGTACATGGGGCTACTGATGGAAACTGGCTTTGCTAATTCTTGTATATTTACATCCTGTGCCTTCATTAATATGCATTGTCCCATTCAAATAAATACATTTGAAAAATTCAAGCAGGAAGACCTAAGAAAATAAAAACTTCAAAAGTTTGGGAGCACTTTATGTGAAACCATGCAAAGACCTTTGTCACCTGCAACATACTGTATGTAAATCAGACATGGCATGAGAGTACGGCGGTGATGATGTGGCATCTAAACTCAAGCATGTCAGAGCCATCAACAAGCAAGGGGAGAGCTCAGTGTCTGTGTAAATTGCAAAACACTATGCTAATCTTTCTGGAGTAATTCACCCCTAGGCTCAGATTAATTAAAATCGTAAGCTAGGGCTGTACATTTACAGGTGCTGGCCAGTAAATTAGAATATCATCAAAAGGTTGAAAATATTTCAGTAATTCCATTCAAAACGTGAAACTTGTACATTATATTCATGCAATGCACACAGACCAATGTATTTCCAATGTTCATTACATTTAAATTTGATATTTATAGGTGACAACCAATGAAAACATCAAATCTGGTATCTCAGAAAATTAGAATATTCTAAAGGCCAATGAAAAAATGTTTGTTTCTCTAATGTTGGCCAACTGAAAAGAATGAACATGAAAAGAATGTGCATGTATAGCACTCAATACTTAGTCGGGGCTCCTTTTGCCTCAATAACTGCAGTAATGCGGCGTGGCATGGACTCGATCAGTCTGTGGCACTGCTCAGGTGTTATGAGAGCCCAGGTTGCTCTGATAGTCGTCTTCAGCTCCTCTGCATTGTTGGGTCTAGCGTATTGCATCCTCCGCTTCACAATACCCCATAGATTTTCTATGGGGTTAAGGTCAGGCGAGTTTGCTGGCCAATCAAGGACAGGGATACCATGGTCCTTGAACCAGGTGCTGGTGGTTTTGGCACTGTGTGCAGGTGCCAAGTCCTGTTGAAAGGTGAAGTCTGCATCCCCATAAAGTTGGTCAGCAGCAGGAAGCATGAAGTGCTCTAAAACTTCCTGGTAGACGGCTGCATTGACCCTGGACCTCAGGAAACAGAGTGGGCCAACACCGGCAGATGACATGGCACCCCACACCATCACTGACGGTGGAAACTTTACACTGGACCTCATGCAACGTGGATTCTGTGCTTCTCCGCTCTTCCTCCAGACTCTGGGTCCTTGATTTCCAAAGGAAATGCAGAACTTGCTTTCATCAGAAAACATAACTTTGGACCACTCAGCATCAGTCCAGTCCTTTTTGTCCTTGGCCCAGGCGAGACGCTTCTTGCGCTGTTTCTTGTTCAAGAGTGGCTTGACACACGGAATGCGACACCTGAATCCCATGTCTTTCATGAGTCTCCTCGTGGTGGTTCTTGAAGCGCTGACTCCAGCTGCAGTCCACTCTTTGTGGATCTCCCCCACATTTTTGAATGGGTTTGTCGTCACAATTCTCTGCAGGGTGCGGTTATCCCTAGAGCTTGTACACTTTTTTCTACCACATTTTTTCCGTCCCTTCGCCTGTCTGTTAATGTGCTTGGACACAGAGCTCTGCGAACAGCCAGCTTCTTTAGCAATCACCTTTTGTGTCTTGCCCTCCTTGTGCAAGGTGTCAATGATTGTCTTTTGGACAGCTGTTAAGTCAGAAGTCTTCCCCATGATTGTGGTGCCTTCAAAACAAGACTGAGGGACCTTTTAAAGGCCTTTGCAGGTGTTTTGAGTAAATCAGCTGATTAGAGTGGCAGCAGGTGTCTTCTATATTCAGCCTTTTCAGAATATTCTAATTTTTTGAGATACCAAATTTGGAGTTTTCATTAGTTGTCACTTATGAATATCAAATTTAAATGTAATGAACATTGGAAATACATTGGTCTGTGTGCATTGCATGAATATAATGTACAAGTTTCACGTTTTGAATGGAATTACTGAAATATTTTCAACCTTTTGATGATATTCTAATTTACTGGCCAGCACCTGTATGTCGCATGTGTGATGAAAAAAACGTAGTGTGATAAACAATTTTTAGACACAGCACTTGTGCAACATCTTTTCAAGTTACTTTTCCCCCAGAACTTTATTGAACAAAGGTAAGTTGCCTGTTATTGTGAAAGGAAGATGCTTTTTACTGGGGTACAATGAGCCAATCTAGGTGATGTGGAGGAAAACAGAAAAACCAGCAAAGGCAGAAACAGTGGATCAAAACTGCAACTACAAGCCGATTAGCCATTGCTGGTTGGTAGCTGGCTCACCATCAAGTGGGGTTCAGAAAAAACACGTAGTCGTGAATCTATGAAGATCTAAACTCTACAAGTGGAAGAAAAGCCCCACCATCCTGTCTACTCTTAGCTGACTGCAGCGCAGCGCTATGGAGCCGAACCGCTGCAGTCAGGTTGCTGCTTCGAGTCTGCTCTGCAGGATTATGCGTCTATCTGTGGACATAATTTAAACTGGATTATTGCTAACCCGTACATAATAGATATGTCACCATTACATGTTATTGAAATACACAAAATTTTACTGATCATAGTTTAACTATGGATATATTTAGGTGATAGCAGGTTGTTTAGCACACTTTTGAACTGTTTTCTAGTCATGTTTTGTTGTTAAATTGAGTACATAAAGGAGAAAAAATATGTTTCCCTAGTAGTTTGTAAATATTCCTGTTTAATCCGATTAACTGAGTCGAGACCCCATCCGATTCATCAATGATCCAAATATTCATTTGTTGCAGCCCTAATGCATACCTGTTATTGCTTTTGACTGAAGTTTCTTCCAGGCAGAACGTCGATCTCCCTCCTGTGGCAAACAAGCTGCGAGACAATAGGCTGTTAAGGCCATGGCGTAAGTATGGTGTATCTCTGTGAGCCGGGACTGGAGATAAGTTGTTGCCTTTAATGTGCTTTCTTGCTGTTAAAAGGTAACAGAGGCATAATGAATTTTACTTATGGCACGTAAAGCAGAAACATTGATGCTAAAGCTTACAGGCTAGCATGCAACTTAAGTTTAAAAAAAAAAACTAAATGAAAAAAAAAGATTTTTTATATTAGCAAATAAGTATATTCATTTATATTAACTCACCACTTTAGTTTGATCCTCAAGTGTCAGGAATTGTTTTGATCGTCTTAGTGCAAGTGTAATGAAGGCAGTCAGCCAAGCATCTTGGTCTTCCTGCATTAAGAGATACCACACATTCAGTTTGATGTAGTCAAAACGCTGACGCAGTTCCAGATTGGCACACCGGGGTGGTGGTTCCCCTTCTTATAAAGCGACTGCAGGGTGCCTTCAAACTACAAGGGGATAACACTCCTGATCCTTCTTGGTGAAGTCTATTTGGGGTGTGTGGAGATCCGTTGGACCTTGGATTCAGGAGGAGTATAGTGGTTTTTGTCCAGGCTGTCGAACACTGGACCAGATCTATGCCCTTAGGGGGTCCCGAAGGGTATGTGGGAGTTTACCCAACCAATTTATGTGTTTTGTGGATTTGAAGAAGGCGTTCGACCGTGTCCCTTGGGGTCCTTGTGAGGGGAACTCAAAGAGTATGGGGTACCGTCAAGGCTGCCCTTTGTTACCAATCTGTTCATAACTTATGTGGACAGGGTTTCTAGGTGAAGTCAAGGTGGTGAGGTTTTGTAGATGATGTGGTCCTTTTGGCTTCATCAGACCATGATCTCCAGCTTTTGTGGGAGCAGTTTGCAGCTGAGTGTGAAGCACCTGGGATGTGAATCAGCTCCTCTAAATCCAAGACCATGGTCTGTAGTCAGAAAAGGGTAGAATGCCTTCTCCATGTCAGGAATGATGTCCTGCCTCAAGTGGAGGAGTTTCATTATCTCTGTGTCATGTTCACGAGTGAGGGAAAATGCAGCAGGAAACTGATAGGCGGATTGGTGCTGCGTCTGCAGTGATGCAGGCATTGTACCGAACTGTTTAGAAAGAGAGAGCTGAGACGGAAGGTGAATCTCTCAATTTACTGGTCAATCTACGTTCCTATCCTCATCTCTGCTCACGAGTTTATGCAGTGACTGAAAGAAAGATATTGTGGATACAAGCCGCCCATAGGAATTTTCTCCACAGGGTGTCCGGGCTCTCCCTTAAAGATAGGGGGAGAGACTTGGCCATCCGGTAGGGGCTTGGAGTAGTTCCACTGCTCCTCCACATTGAGGGGAGCCAGTTGAGGTGGTTCGGGCATCTGGTTAGGATGCCTCGTGGACACCTCCCTCTTCCTGGTGAGGTTTTCCAGGCATGTCCAAGCAGAAAGAGACCTAAAGGAAGATCCAGGAAACAGCGGAGGGACTAAGTTTCTCGTTTGGCCAGGGAACATCTTGAGTCAGAGTCAGGATCAGAGTAACCTCCTAGTGGTATTGCAGTCAAAACGTAAGACCAGAGGTGATCGTGCCTTTTCAGTTCTGGGTCCTTGGCTTTGGAGCCAACTGCCACTAGAAACAAGACAGCCCACATCGCTGCCCACTTTTAAAGCTGGGCTTAAGGTGTATCTTAGATGTGTATAGTTGCTTTACTCATGTTTGAATGTTGTGATCATCATTGTTGTTTTACTGTTTATAACTCTTAAAAAATTTTATTTCTGTATTTTATTATAAAGCGGATTGATTTTGTTTTAGTTGTTTTTACATTATGTTCAATACCTTGGGCCCCCTTGACTGGGAGCAGGCAGGGGCTTTAAAAATAATCTTGAACTTGAGATTCGCCAGGAGGGGCTGGCCCAAGAGGATGGGGAGAGGGAAGTCTGGGCCTCTCTGCTTAGGCTGCTGCCCCCGTGACCCGACTCCGGATAAGTGGAAGAGAATGGATGGATGGATGGATGGATGGATGGATGGATGGATGGAATTCAGTTTGCAAATTTTCCACTTAACCAAGGCATAATTTACCTTGACATTTCTGTGAATCACAGGATTTGGGTCGATGAATGACCCGTTGTCTTCCTGTTTTGAGATCAAGTAATTGGCTGATTCTATGATGTCGTTTTGTACTGATCCAGTAAGTCCTGCTCCTTGACGCTCTCCCACCAATGACATAACCTTGAGTACATAGGCAGTCGCCCTGAGGAAAAGAGAAAGAAATTGGGATAAGTAAGTAAAGGCTAGTTGTCAATGTAACTGATAAAAGCAGCTTTATTTTGTGGAATATTTTTAACAAATTTTTGTTCATCAAACCAGAATTAAGATTAACAAAATATTGACTTACCAAATGCTGGAATCTACAGTATAAAATGATGCATAAGCTTGACTGCCTTTTTCCTTATAACCTAATACTGTCATACAACCTGAAAGAGGATTAAAAACAATGTATTCTTAAAGCATTAAGATAATGCAATATCAGCTATTCTGTGTATTATTAAGAACACAAAAACAAGGGATGCAACATCACATTATGAAAAATGTCATAAGAAGAATAGGAGAAAAAGCATACATGTAGGGATGGACAATTTGGCAAATACATCTTCATAATTTCTTTTAAGCAGTTAAATAAAAAACATGAATTTATCACAACGTTTTACATAATTTATAATCTAATGCTTTTTTCAGCTGTTTTTAGAAGAACAAAGGAAGACTGCTGTAATTAGTGGAATAATTAAACTTACACCAATAACTGGACACTGACATTGTAAACATGGAAATAGTTTTGCTGGATGTGATGTTGTTTTCTCATGATTACAACAAATATATGAAAAAATATGGAACCTGTTCTCTCTCACTCTATGTGCGTGTGTGTGTGTGTGTGTGTGTGTGTGTGTGTGTGTGTGTGCGTGCGCGCGCGTGTGTGTGTGTGCGTGTGTGTAACATTGGTGTAACATACCAATGTTAAACATACCTTGTTCAACGTTTGCAAGAGCCGCATCTCTGGAACCAGGAGGCAGGTCAAACCATTGATCACTTAAATCAAGATAGCGCAAGGCTAACACGGTAGGTGCCAGTCTGTTTGTCGTCTGTTCCAAACATCCAAAAGGCAGTTTGATCAGTTTAACAACAGTTTCTGGAGAAAGAAGAATCCTTGCATGTGAACTGCCAAAGCCCTCCCCTGCAACACAAGAAAACTGATAGTGAGACACCTCTTATTTGTAAATGAGCATGTCTGAGTCTGAGAGCACCAACCTTCTACTGAAACAAATACATTGGCGCTTGAGTCCGGGACTAAATCGTCCGGAAAAGTTCCATCAATATCCAGTTTCGCTGAACTCCTTCCTATCAATGACACACGGAGTAACTCAAGAACAAAAGCTTTTACAACAGTTAACCACTGAAGGACAGAGGAAAGCACTGAATGCACTCACCATCTAATTTAACCACATGGGTTGTTTCCTGTCTTATTTCAAATCCTTCATTCTGCAACAAGTATTGAGAGAGAGAGACAAATGACCGTGGGCGATGTACAATAATTTTAGTAAGATAAAATAATCTTTTGCTACTAACCTGCACATTTAAGGTTTTCTCCACTGCATCTAACCCCTTCTCATTTTCAGTATCGTAAAGGCGAATTTTGATGGGAATTGGGCCAGATGCCATGGGGACAACAGAGAAAGGCACAAGCTGAGAAGACATTGGCTCAACAGCAACCGTCACGTGGGTACCTTTAGTGGCCGAAGCAGGGGCACAAAGTCCATCTGTTTGGTCCAAATTCACTGCCAGCTGTGAAAATGCAGATATCCAGATTTCTAAATAAAATCAGGAATTCACAGACATTTTTTTCTACCAAAAGGTTAATTAATGTGCCCATCAAACTGTTACCTGCAGTCTCTCTTCACCATAGTTGTAGATAACTGGTGCAATAGATAATTGCTCATATCTTTTCACTGAGTAAGGTAGCCTCAGAGACACGAATGCTGGTTTAAATGCCTTAACTTCATGCGGCTTGACTACACAGAAACCTGAAGAGTAAGACTGAGTTGTAAAAAATGCGTTTACTTGAACTATTTAAGAAACATTTGTGGGCATGTTCTTACCTTTTGCAGAAGATAAGGCGATGACCTGAACTTCCCATGTGGTGATTGAGTCAGGTAATTTCAAAAGATACCTAGAAAAGATTTTAGGTATTTAAAGAAGATTATTTGATTATAAATTATTTTTATCATGCTAAAACCAAAATGGAGTTAAAAAAAACAACACTAAAACTGCCCAGCTTACTTTTTTTTGTCATTCACATCAAATTCTGTGAATGCAAAACTTGGAGGGAACAGTCGTCGAATATACTGATCAGTATCCATCAGGAAATATTCTTCAATTTCTTTTGTGGTTGCAGCTAAATGATGGTAAAATATTGTGGTTAGACACTGATAATAATACCAAAGGCAGCAAACGCTGGTAACTTGGGTGTTTAAAGTAAATAATCTTACTCCTGCCGAGTTCGCTCTGGACACCCTCTTGCTTCTGTTTTTGCCTTAGCCTCTCGGCTTCTTTGCAGCATTCTTGAAAAACATCCACACACGTTTGATTTTGTTTCACTAGACCAACTCTGATGGCTCTTTCCTCACATGTTCGTCTCATAGGAATGAAAGAAAATGCGTTAGTGCAACATTCTTGGAGGTCTGGATCTTCATACTTGGCTTCTGAAAGTGGAATTCAGAGAAAAGAATTGGCAATTATCTTGTCCCATTTTACATTATTTCAAACCAAAGATGTTGTTGAAAGAAATCTTACTTAAAGTTAACATTTCCTGTTGGATGTCAACTGAACGTTTGCCACGTACAGACGTTGTGGTACACTCAAAATCTGAAAGAAGACAAAGAAATTGAAATGTTTCATAGAGAAGTTGAATGAATAATATTTCTTGTGCAAAAATTGGTTTTAAATCCCCTGAATAAAAAAAATATTTCAAGGGCCTGTTTCAGGTTATGTTACACTCTCCAGAGCAACGGTAGGCACAATATAAGATAAAATATTACTGTTGGCACATGCTGTATACAAACTCTCTGATCTACCTCAGTTCAGTCCGAGATCGGACACACAGAGCAGATTAGAAAACATCGTGCGGAAAAACTACGATATAAAATGTTTATTTAACCGTGACTGAAGGAGTACAAAGATATGCAGCAATGTGTCAGGGAAATATGGGAAATGTGAGTTTACAGGTGGTGACGCAGTGACATTATACATCACTTACTGTGTGGATCTGTGCATACCACTTAAAAAAGTTAAAAATACCACAATAATAAACTAAGGATCAACAAAAAAACAAAAGATTTAAGGAAAGACAAAAACACTGCTTATCTCTCAGGTAACAAAAGAGACTTGTCTGCTAAATAAGAACTGAGATTTGCTATCAGGAAAGCAGAATCAAAACTATGCTACCAAACTCGTGAATGGAGGACATAGAAGTGTGGTGGGTCTACGAGATCAACAACCGGATGATCCAGTGGTCGATTTCAGTCTGAGCCGTGTAATTGGCTAAAGTTTTTAAACGAATACAAAAGGACCACTTTATTTACTTTTTATCTCCACAATAAACATATAGAAGGTTGTTAAGAAGTGTGAAAACAATGTTTAAGCTAATTTGTTTTCAAAATTTGCTATAGCAGCTTTAACTTTATGTTTTCTCCAAGTGTTTTTCTCTCCACTACAACAGGTCTGGTGTTGTGCTGAGCTGTGATATCTTCCTATGCTGGCAAACTCTCAGGATAGAGCTGGATGCGAAAGTTTGGGCAGCCTTATTAATCACTTAACACAAATTGTGCAATAATTGTTTAAAGAGACTATAACAAAGTTTAAAAACCAGTACATCTATGGAAATGTAAAATGTATTCTTCATCCATTCTCCTGCAACGCCCTGGTCCTGTAGAATGATCACTGGCATTTTTACTGTGATTGCCTGTTTTTCTGTAAAATCACAGAAAAAGTGTATGATCGGATCAAACAAGCCTGCTTCCCCAGTGCCTTCCAGAAGCAGCGTATTGCATGATGATGTCATGCGCGTCCACGCTCAGGCATAGCCCAAAGTGTTTGCTATCTGTAGCATAGCAGCAGAGTGAGAGGCAGTGTTGCACTTCAGAGACTTTGTCACTGTTCCTAACGACTTTTCGATCCTTTTCAACAAGTTGTATTTTGAAAAAGCGCCTAGCAACAAACCTAGCGACATTTCTGAGGGCCCGGCATTTTCTCGGCCGGGCCGACGAGAAAGGTACAGCTGCAGATTTACGCCTGCTGCGTCTAACCCTAACCCAGATCTGCCTTAATATCACTTTATTTAACCATCCATCCATACATCCATTTTCTTCCACTTAGCAGCTTTTGATACAGTCAACCACCAACTCTTGCTAGATCGTCTACAACACTGGGTCGGTCTTTCAGGTCCTGCATTGGTTTGGTTCTGTTCTTACATGACAAATAGGACACTTTGTATGTGGATTGGTGACTGTCAGTGCGTTTACATGCAGCCAGTAACCCTTTTAAAACCCGAATATTCACAATAACCCGGTTCCGCAGGTCCTTGTAAACACCGCCAAAAACCCGGATATGCTCATAACCGGGTTTTTAAAAACCTGGTTACTACACCTGGGGTAACCCTTTTTTAACCCGAATGTTTGGTCGTGTAAACGCATACCGGGATATCCCCATCAAAGCGTGTGTTCTGCGCATGCTCTGTTCGCAAAGAATCTTGGTCTTTTGAGTAGCAAGACGTCTTGTACGCGCCAGAACACCGGAAGTAAACAAGTAGGGAGCAAAATGGCGAGTCGCGGCACAGCACCACACTTTGAGTGACGAGGAAACTAAAGCACAAACAAACGCGGTCGCTATCTCTTCCGAACTGGGAAACATGTTGTTGTTTTCACGGATACCGGAACAAGAAGAACCGGAAAGAGAGTTCTGTCCTAGGGCCCCTTCTGTTTACCATCTATCTTCACCTTTTGGGACAGATTTTCGAGCGGTACGGCATAGGCTATCATGTCCACGTCAATGATTGTTAGATATACCTGGCCATGAATGGACTAAACGTAGATTGTCCTGATACAACTTTTTCACTTCCGATACAGTATTTTTTTCTTGTGAGGCGCTATAGAAAGATCTTTTCTTCTTCTTCTTCTTCTTCTTCTTCTACAATATCGATATCTGTGCAGAGTATGGACTAGAAACCCCAAGGTCAAAGTGGGAAACACCCCCTAAGGATGTAGAGGATGAGCGAGCCAAGCTCTGGTGGGACTTTCAGATCCAGACTGACAAAATGGTGATGGCGAACCAACCGGACATTGTGGTGGTGGACATCAGCAGAGCACAGCCATTGTAGTTGATGTAGCAATACCAAGTGATGCCAACATCAGGAAAAAGCGATGCGAGAAACTATGAAGTACCAGGGTCACAAAGAAAAACTCAAGAAATTCTGGAGTGAAAACATTGGTGGTGCTTGTGGTCATCTGGGTACTCGGGGCAGTAACCCTAAAACTGGAGGAGTGGTTAAAGCAGGAAAAACATCAGGCATTTCAATCGAGAAAAGTGCAGTTCTAAGAACAGCTAAGATACTGCACAGAACCCTCAAGCTCCCAGGCCTCTGCTAGAGGACTCAAGCTTGGAAGGATGAGACCCCCCACGAAGGGTGAAATGGGAATTTTTTAATAAACAACATAACGTGAGAATAATAATGATGAAATAATGGGTTTTTATCTTTGTTTCTGGCTAGAGGTCATGAACGAGGGGCATTGCTTTCAACTGTAAATATGGACGTAATAAGAACGGCTAAAAGTACAATAAATTTGTCAGACTCTAGATCGTCTTTTCAGATAAAAAATATTCTGGATTGTAGCTACACTATAATCAGATCAACTATTGCTTGTCCTTACAAACGTTTTAGAGTTGAGCTGTTAGAATTATTCAAAGAATTGTTTCAACCCAACTCTAGAAATAGGGTGATGGCTCGGCACATAAACATTTTAGCTGAGAGGGGGTTAATTTATTCTCACTGGCCCATGGATGTAATGGCTGACTCGAGCTGAGCGAGAGTTGGAGATGTGGCGTGGCTTCTTAACCCAAGTACGGAGTGAACTGACGCCGGGTGGAGTGAGCACGCTGTGTAATCTAGGAGCCGGGTGCGCAGCGGTGTGAAGAAAACAGCTGAGCACGGCGGCTCCCACAGCACTGGCCTGACTTCTAGGAGTTGTCAGGTCTCTTAGATCTGGCTGATCTGGTTTGAATTGGCTGATTGAGCTGAGACGATCTGGTCTGGACTCTGAGTTCGGTTCGGTGAGAACGATGACTGAGTGAGTCGGCGTTGTGCGGCACCTCCCTAAGTAGCCTTGGCGGGTGACGTGAACCGGAAGACTGGCGCTGGGGATGTTGGGTAATGGAGTTCGGAGGGTCTGAGCGGCTCTGTGGTTCCTCCCTTGAGGAGGTTGATGGTTGTGAGGGAGAAGGCGTGACATTGGATGTCTCAAAATATACCAAGAAGATGCTGGAATGTGTCACTGGAGGGAAGAATGTCTGGTTTTCCTTCCTGGACCAGCTGTCTCCATAAAGCAACCTCATAGATGTGCATAAAAATAAATAAACGGATGGTTGAATAGATAACTTTCTCATTAGGACCCGTCCTACCCAAGCCCCAATAATTCTGCAGCAAATTTGAAGACAACAAGGAAGTGGCAACATTTGCAGTTCCACCCTCATCCTCTAGGGTTTGACAGCAGAAGTGAGCAAATCTTCATTGACTCCCATGTTAAAAATGGTCATTTCACAGCAGAATTAAACATGTTTAAAGCCTGGTTCAAAAAACCATTGTAGGCTTAATAGATCTAGTTTACATTAATGACAACTTTGAAGGGGTTGATTTTTTTTGTAACTCTTCTAGTCAAGTGGAATTAAATGCTCAAAAGTCTGAATAATTAATGAGCATCTAATGGGCCATTCCCATCTGTACCGGGTCGGCCCGGGCCGGGTAGCCCCAGTCGGCCCCAGCCTGGCCCGGTTGATTCCACACATCCTTGCCTTAAGCCCATGTGGGCTGATTCTACCCACCAATCAGAGGCTTGCTCTAATGGAAGGTGTGAATTTGCTGTCAGCAGTGGGTGTGTTGGCCCTGGTCGGCCTGAAGCAGACCCCCTCGAGAAGAGGGCTGAGAATGAGCCTTGGTTGGCCCGGAAAAATACCAGGCCACCCAGATATGTAAACAACCTACGTTACCCGGCCCGGGCCGACCCGGTACAGATGGGAGTGGCCCAAAAGTGACTTCAGAGCTAGCTCCGGGGAAAGGCCTCAGCCTCACGTTAATAGATGTTCGGCCATTTCGACTCTCCGAACTTTAGTTTTTTTGCGTGTGTATGTTTGTGTTTGAATGTTAATCAATGAATTAGTTGGACAAAAGGGCAAGGTGTGGTTACTAACAGACCATCCAAGTAGCTTCTGCTTCTTTTTATCAGTAAGTAAATTTATACTTTTTCGTTGGCTGAATGGGGGGAAATGCTGTACCATTTAACTGCTTGGTCAAACATTTAGTGGGGCTACATAAGAACCTTGAGTGGGTGTACAGCTTCTGCCTGAGAAAAGCAGGTGGCTGGCTGTTCCCGTTTCCCTGGGTAGCTAGGCCGGCTCCAAAGCTAGACTCATGCTGGATCTCTGAGAGGGACCACAAAAACACCACAGCTCTTTTTGTTAGACGCCATTTCACTTTTGTGTCGCTCAACCTCATTTTTCTCGCTGAAAATGGCCGGAAAAATTATGTTAGCTTCAGGTTAGTATGTAGCTAATGTCCTACTGACCTCCGGCTTCCAGAGTGGGGAACATCAACAACGGCGGACACGCGGATCTTTCACCGCAGTGGACCAACTAAGCCCGATATCCTCTGTCAGCTTACCAAGTTATGATTTGTTACTAAGCAGGCTGGCGGTGTCTTTACTTTTGAGTCGCTCTACCGCGTTTTTCTTGCTGAAAACATCTGGAAAAACTCAGTTAGCTTTGGGTTAGCATGTAGCTAGTGTCCTGCTTTCCCCTGGCTGCCGGAGAAGGGACCATCAACAGCGGCGGAGATGCAGATCTTACACAGCAGTGGACCTACGAAGCCCGATATCCTCAGTCAGATTATCTACGATTTTATTACTAAGCAGGCCCGAGGTGCCTTTACTTTGGAGTCGCTGTACTGCGTTTTTTTGCTGAAAACGGCCGGTAAATCTCTGTTAGCTTCGGGTTAGCATGTAGCTAATGTCCCGCTTATCTTCGACCGTGGAGCAAGAGCTGATGTAAAAGGCTAAGGCACCCAACTACGATCGCAGCTGTATGAGGCTCCGCTTGTAATTTAACAGTCCCAGTCCAGATTAGATCTCCACAGACAATCAGTATGACTACAGCCTCGCACGGGAGCCAGTCTGCTGTGCGGGTGGGATACCCCGGTCCAAGCAGCCCTTCTTAGCTTCTTGGGTTAGCTAAGTTTGCTAGTAGCTACACTGGTTCATTTGTTCCAATCGTTGGTTCCAACACTGTTCCAAATGTAGCATTCCCACCCTTTGCTTGTCTGGACATGACTAGACCTGTGACACGGTCAAAATAGCGGTGGTGGAAACCTCACATTTGGGCACAAAAATGTATAATTCGAACATATGGATATGAGTTGTCGAGTATATATGTCGATGGTCCTACTCAGGCAACCTAGGCTGGTGTTGGTACCAGATAGCAGAGCCTTAGTTGAAGAGGAAACCCTGAAGTGAACGGCTGTAAAAGGGATGGCCTCTAGCCTTTAGATTTATTCCCATCTTTACCTTGGCATATGTTCTGTTGCCTAGAAACCGTGATGCAACTAAACAGGGGCTAAAATTTGGGACCTGCCTCTGTATATGTGAGGAGAATATTATTTTTAGCCGGAGACATTGTCACTGTCATCAGATCAGCCCTTTCAGCAGACATTGTGAAAAAATTTATATTTTTATCAAAAGCCATGAAAACTGAATGAACCTGAACAAAAGTTCACAAGTTGGAATGCTTCATGTGTTTCATTAAAGGGAATAGAGAAAGTACTGTAAATGTTCCAAATATAGAAAGCATTTCTGCTGTGTCAGTTACAGCTGAGAGAGCCAAAGTATTGATCTAAAAATGTCCTCTCTCTCTCTCTCTCTCTCTCTCTCTCTCTCTCTCTCTCTCTCTCTCTCTCTCTCTCTCTCTCTCTCTCTCTCTACATATACATAAATATATATATATATATATATATATATATGTGTGTGTGTGTGTGTGTGTGTGTGTGTGTGTGTATTGAACTGTTACATGTTCTTTTTTAGTTTGTTTTGTTTTGTTTTATTTATTTAATTTTTCTCTGACAAGTTTTTGTTGGAGAATTCAATTAAGTTTATTTATATAGCACCAAATCACGACAAGAGTCGTCTTAAGGCACTTCACACAGTAAACATTCCAATACAGGTCAGTTCATTAAGCCAATCAGTAAGAAGATTCCTAAATATTTTTGAGAATCTAAACATACCTGTTTACATAAGAGAGACACTTTTTTTTCTCTTTTTCCCTCACTGTGCTGAAAAAGACCCAAACCTTGAAATTAAAACCTGGACCATACAAAAAAATTAATAAATAAAACACCTGGACCATACCACCCACACTTTTAGGCATACTGTTAAACCTTGATTACATTCTAGGGATAATGTAACATCACATCTAAATCACATGAGACAGATGTATACGTTTAAAGAGCAAGTCAACCCCTACCAGAGTCTAACTCCACTCCCACTTCATGTTTGAAAAATGCAACAAATGCTGTTGCCTGGCAGACCGAGAAGGCGGAGCTGCTAACAAATACACACATACACACACACAGGCTCACGACAGCATTGTGACATCGTAATGTACCAGTTTACATCATAGCATACCTCTTAGCCAATAGCGGTGGCAGATTTAATTTAAAATACAGTGCAGAGTTTTTACCTGACAACGGCACAACACTGCCAGTTTTAGGCAGAATATTTAAATTTTAACTAAGATGCACTGAAGTGCCAAATTATTGATGACATGTGTCTGCAGCACGATTAGACACTCGTTAATTTAGTTTATCAGCAAAAAAAAAAGTTTTTGGGGGGTGACTTGCTCTTTAAGTAAATGATGTATACATTGGTTTATAACTCACTCCTCCTCCACTGCTGTTCAGATCGGGATGAAAAAGCTAGACCAGCCTCCATAAGCACTGATGATGTGTTTATTCCTCCATTATATGTACATCCTTGGTCATATGACTTCATGGAAGAGAATACCTGTTACAAGAAAAGCAGAAGCTTGGGTTTGCTATATTGGGCATTTAAAATACCTAAAAACAAAGGAAATAAAAAGAAGTATTAAGAATTATCACCTGTTTGGCTGTTAGTTTATTATCAGCTTTGAGACCATAAAAGGCTTTATCCACAGCCAGCAACGCCACCTTAGCTGACTGACCATGCAAATCTAATTGTAGCACCAATGATTGGGCAGGCCGAGGCTGTCCTTTATTCTCCACCTATGAAGATAAAAAAATGCTTTATATATGGGAAGTGTCTCTAAACAAGCAATCCTAAAACAGTACAATTTCTGCAACTCAGCAATATAAAAGTTTAGTATTTGCAATGTGAGGAATGTCCTCTTCTGACCCCAAGTATCAGATGAAGGTCATAATCACTGCATTTTTATTCTTCTCGTCTCTCGTCTCGCCCTCTTCCGCCTTTCCGGGTCCGGGTCGTGGGGCAGCATCCCACCTAGGAAGTTCCAAACTGTCCTCTCCCCGGCCACCTCCACCAGCTCCTCCGGTAGGACCCCAAGGCGTTCCTGGGCCAGTTCGGAGATGTACTTACTCCAACATGTCCTGAGTCAACCAGGGGGCCTCCTGCCAGCAGGACATGCCTGAAAGACCTCTCTGAGTAGGCATTCAGGCGGCATCCTAACAAGATGCCCAAACCACCTCAACTGACTCCTCTCAATATGGAGGAGCAGCAGCTCTACTCTGAGTCACTCCTGAATGTCCGAGCTCATCATCTTATCCTTAAGGCTGAGCCCAGCCACCCTGTGGAGAAAACTTGTTTCAGACACTTCTATCCCTGATAGAAGTGTCTACCCTAACCCTACCCTACCCTAACCCTAACCCTTTCCCGGGAGGCTGAATAGTGTGATACCCTTATAGTTGGAACACACCCTCTGGTCCCAGTTTTTAAAAAATAGGACCACCACCCAGGTCTGCCACTCCACAGGAACTGCCCCTGATGACCAGGCAACGTTACAGAGACTTGTCAACCAAGACAGTCCTACACAGGTCGGATCTCATCCACCCCAGGGGTTCTGCCAGCGCATAGTTCTTTGACTACATCAGTGACTTCTGCCCCAGAGATCGGATAGTCCATCCCCAGGTCTCCTCTGGTTCCTCCTCGCGATGCGTGTCAGTGGAATTGAGGAGCTTCTCAAAGTATTTCGTCCACCACCCAACTATAGCCCCAGTTGACATCAACAGCTCCCCATCCCCACTGTGTACAGTGTGAGCAAGTTACTGGCTTCCCCCCCCCTGGGGTGTCAGATGGTTTGCCAGAACCTTTTTGGAGCCGATCAATAGTCTTTCTCCATGGTCTCGCCAAACTCCTCCCACGCCAGCGATTTTGCCTTTGAACCTGCCACTGCTGCACCCTACTTGGCCCTCCGGTACCTGTCTGCTGCCTTTGTAGATCCATAGAGCAGTCATGCCCTGTAGGCCTCCATCTTCAGCTCGACAACTCCCTTAACCTCTGGTGTCCACCATCAGGTAAGGTGGTTACTGCCAGGACTGGCACCGGCCACCTTGCAACCACAGCTAGCAACTGCCGCCTCAACAAGCAGAGCGAAACAAGGCCCATTTGGACTCAACGGCCCCCACTGCTCTCAGGACGTGGTCAAAGCCCTGCCGGAGGTGGGAGTTGAAAACCATCTGGACATGTTCATCTGCCAGGCGTTCCCAGCAGACCCTCACAAAACGTTTGGGTTTACCAGGTCTGCGCAGCATTTTCCCCTGCCTGCTGATGCAGCTTACCAGCAAGTGGTGGTCAGTTGACAGCTCCGCTCCTCTCTTTACTCGAGTGTCCAAAACATACAGTCTCAGCTCAGATGATACAACTGATGATACAGTTGTATCATCTGATGATACAGGTCAATCATTGACCTGTAACCTAGGCTGCCCTGGTATCAGGTATACCGATGGGCATCCTTATGTTTGAACATGGTCTTTGTTATGGCCAAACTGCGACTTGTGGAGAAATCCAATAACAGAACGCCACTCGAGTTAAGATTGGGCGGGCCGTTCCTCCCAATTACGCCATTCCAGGTCACGCTATCATTGCCAAAGAGAGCATTAAAGTCCCCTAGCAGGACTATGAAGTCCCCAGTTGGAGCACCATCTAGTAATCGTCCCAGGGACTCCAAAAAGGGTGGGTACTCTGAACAGCTATTTGGTGCATAGGCACAAACAACAGTCAGGACCTGTTTCCTGACCTGAAGGCTCAGGGAAGCTACCCTTTCATCCCCAGCAGAAACCCCCAACATACAGGCAGAGAGCCTTGTGGAGAGTCAGAAAGCTCACCCCAGCCCTCCGCCTCTCACCCAGAGCAATTCCAGCATAAAAGAGAGTCCAACCCCTCTCAAGGGCTTGGGTTCTCGAGCCAATGCTGTGTCGAGGTGAGTCCAACTCTATCTAGCTGGTACCACTCAACCTCTTCCACAAGCTCCAGCTCCTTCCCCGCCAGAGAGGTAACGTTCATTACCTCCCAAAAGCTAGTTTTTTGTGTCCGGGGATCGGACCGCCAAAGCTCCTGCCTTGGTCTGCTAAATGATTCACATTGCACCGGACACTTCATGTTTCTCCTGCATGGGTTGGGTCCACAGGTGGATGAGCCCATGTATCCAGTTTGGGCTGGGCCAGGCCAGGTCCCATGGGCACCAGGCACTCGGCCACCAGGCGCTTGCCCACAGGCCCCAACCCCAGGTTTGGCTCCAGGGTGGGACCCCGGTAACCCTCTGGGCTGGGTACTTCCATGAAGAGTCTTCTGAACCGCACTTTGTCTCACCCTTCACCTAAGACCAATTTGCCATGGGTGGCCCTACCAACGGCACAAAGTGCCCCAGACAACACAGGTCCTAGGATCCTTGGGGCACTCAAACTCCTCCACCACAATAAGGTGGCTGTTCAAATAACACTTTTGACCGATATTATCCTTGTGGATCCTGGTTACTTCTGTTCATAGTTGGAGTTACACAAAAATGCCAAGCAGACCTAAATAAAGTGTTTGCAAGCATCAACAGTTGTTTTATTAATTTTAAACTTGACCTGTGACTGTTTGATGGAAGAAACAAACCCTGTCATCTGTGGGGAACTGTCTCTGTCTGTAACCCTCTACAGAAAAGCACATGCACTGGTTTTAAAACCTCACTTGTAGTTTTCAAGGCTGTGATGAAAAAACATAAAAGAATAAAATAGACTTCATTGATTCAACAGTGGGGAAATTCACTTGCTACAGCAGCACATACTCATAAGCCCTTTTTAGAAGACAAACTGTGTCGGCAAATCAGCATAATATTGTCCGGGTTGGTTCGCTGGAGTTTTTGACAACGAAAAATTGCACCCACATTTTCAAAGTGAACACACATTTCTTTTAACAATGGTAGTTTTTGCATCTTTACTCAGTGCGTTTACATGCAGCCAGTAACCCTTTTAAAACCCGAATATTTGCAATAACCCGGTTCCGCACGGCCATGTAAACACCGCCAAAAACCCGGATATGCTCATAACCGGGTTTTTAAAAACCCGGTTACTACACCTGGGGTAACCCTTTTCTAACCCGAATGTTTGGTCGTGTAAACGCATACCGGGATATCCCCATCAAAGCGTGTGTTCTGCGCATGCTCTGTTCGCAAGGAATCTTGGTCTTTTGAGTAGCGAGACATCTTGTATGCGCCATAACACCGGAAGTAAACAACAAGTTGGGAGCAACATGGCGAGTCGCGGCACAGCACCACACTTTTGGAGTGACGAGGAAACTAAAGCGCAAACAAACGCGGTCGCTATCTCTTCTGAACTGGGAAACATGTTGTTGTTTTCACGGATGCCAGAACAAGAAGAACCGGAGATGATGCATATTGCGTCTGGACGTAGTCCATACATAGTGACACTACCCCAACGTCCGCATTTAGATCGGGTTATGCAAGCTTGGGGTAACTCTTTATCTATTTATGCTTGTAAACGGGTTATTCTGATCAACTCAGAAACCCGAATACCGACCTTAAACCGATCATAACCCAGATATTGGCTGCATGTAAACGTACTCATTGTTCCCCTGCTTCAGCCCTCTCCCCCCTCCCCCTGCGCAGCGGCCGCAAACTCGCTGATGCGCCTCCAGCCTCTCAGAGTTCCTGCTGATCTAAACATTGAAAGAATATTTTCATTTTTTGTTCCTCACTTCTGATTACTTTCAATAGTGTCTGTTTGTTGCAACCACCAGGTACAAAAACAAACTTGTTTTCTTGTTTGACTATTTTTCTGTCCTGTCTCTGTCTTATCTTCCTGCATCTCATCTCAATCCTAAAGAAAAACTGCTACCTGGTGTAACAGAATGAAATGACTGTTTTCCACCTAAAAGTCATTTCCCCTCTCCTCAGCAAGAACTAATCTGCATGAGATATTGCCTCAAGGTCTCACGCATTTGCTCCAAACTGTTTTCATTTCCAGCTCAAGAGAATAATGAAGACAAAGGACTCGTTCTTTTTAATAAATCAAAGAACTCTATTTTTAATAAGCTAATCAAACAAAGAGTTAGTCAATAATAAAATGTAAACCAATTTGTGAAATGAAAATATTAATTACTTTATTATAATCCTATAGAATATAATAAGTAATATAAATGTAAATGTTTCCGTTAGACTGATCACACGTAGCGTTAAGACATGACACATTGCTTTTACTGACCCAATCAGAATCTGCCAGATCTGACGGAGGCGTGGTTTTGGTGGTGCTTGGTAAATCTGTCCTCTTTTCATTCGACCATAAACCAAAACATCTGAAGTATAAAACTAAGCCCACGTCATCTTTAATGCCGGTTCAAAGCGTTCTAGAGAAGTTGTCGGAGTGGCCAATCCGTAATTTTCCTCTTCAGCCGAAAGAACCAACGACAAGCTGGATGAAACCTGTTGCATTTTACCAACCAAGCAACGGTTCCTTTCAGAATAAAAGCTGAACTCATTGACCCTCCGGGTCCATCTGACGCTGTCAACCAACTGTCGCTTTTTACCTGGAGACAATCCAAAGACTAGTCTGTCGTACTGCTGACGCTGTTTCATCGGCTCCGGACCGAAAGAGGGGTTCGAGGACCTGGCAGCCTGGATCTGTACGGAGGTCTCATTCTAAGGGTATGTATGGAGTGACAAGATGGCGTCTTATGTGTTTATGAATCTCCGAATCAAAGCTTAGCGCGAAGACATCACCTTCACTCCCATCAGAACTTATCGTTTCTCCGGATTTGCTGGTTCTGAACAACATTCCACATTACACCATTCTCCGTCTCACTTCACCTTAGTTACACCATACATTTAGTGTTTAAAGTTAGTCTAGTTTTAATTTGTTTAGTAATAAATCTTTAAACTTATTAAACTTGGCTCTCTCTTCTGTTGTCTCTGAGTTAATACGAAGTGTTACATAATCCCTGCAATAAAAAGTTCCAATCTTCTGGTTAAAAGTACCCAAAGATCCATCAGATTGATTTCTTATTTTCTATAGAATCTCATGCCTCATGGTTCATTAAATAACATGTAAATTAACCTTTTACACTGGCTTCATATTTTTCACCTCATGAGTTACCTTTGAATTGCAGTTAAAAAGATCTACCGACCACAAAAATAGCAGGGTGCGAGCCGGCCGCACCTGTGAGGTGAAGTCACCGGAGGACGGAACAGGTGATGCGCTTCGCTCTGCAGCAGCAAAACGCATCAGGCACAAATAAAAGACAGAAAGCATGAAAGGATGTGAGCCTACATAAACGATCGTGTATTAAGTTTGTTTTTGAGGTGGAGACACTTTGATGTTGTTACTGTGGCCGTGCTCAGGACGCATCTGTCTGGAGCGCATCAACGATCAGAGCTCTGTACCTCTCAGGTAAAAATAATCCCCAGAGAGTCCACATAGACAATGTAATATAAGTAGAACCAGGATCGTTTTAGGCCTCCCCCTGGATGTGTAACTTGAGGGCTTCCAGGGGAGCCTGTCACCCTTTCAGGTGAGCTGGGCTCCCTTTAGCTCACTCGTAATTCAGACCCTGCGTATAGCACAAGTTGATCGCGTGAGTTGCCAGAACCTAGCAGACTGTTGCCGGAATGGTCCTTTCAAAATAAGACAGTTCCCGGATCTTATTCCGGCAAGATCCGGCTCAAATTAAGCTCTGTGTACAACAGCCCCAACTCTGTCATTTAGCCACCAGTGCTGTTGTGGCTACATTGATGCACATCACCAGCATGTGAATTCATGCAAGCGTGGTTCAATGAGTGTTGTGTTGTAAATTGCCTTAGAGGGAGTTCTAGGACTTTAAAAGATGCTAAATAAATGCATTGAATTTACCAATTCACTATTCAATCCCCCATAGTCTTACACATGCAAATAATTAACAAACTTATTTGGTCAATTGAGGTAAGATCCTGTAAGTTTACTCACCGTGACCTCAACGTTCATCTCGCATTGATCTCTGACATCAACCCACACAGAGTCAGCTATGATGAAACCGTTCTCACTGTGAAAATAACCAATCACACGGAAAGATGGAACCATGTTAGCCGTAATCTTGAAGTTGTGTTTAACATTTATTCCAAGTTGAAGTGAGCCAGTTTGTATTATGATACCACGGCTTAAGACCTGCAACAAAGAATAATAACAAAACATTATAACTGAACAAAAATTACAAACATGTTCTATTTAGTCACTTGTGCTCTTCACCATATAATATATAAATCCCTCTCTCGGGCCATTAACAGTGTTGAATGTTATGGAAAAGTTCTCTTCAACAGTGTACACTTTGTTGGAGGTTGACATGTAAAGGTAGCTGTTACTTGGTGATGAAACCTTTTCTATAATTTTTTCCTCTTGGAGACCATCAGCTGACACCTGTAGGACGCAGAAGTGGAAAAAGTTCGGAATAAGTCAAACAGGATTTATTGAAACCACTACATGTATTTGTGAATACTAACTTTCACTGTAATCTTAGCAGCATTCGGGATATTAAAGACAGGGGACACCATTCCCTCCACATCAGTGGTGCCTTGCCAAATTTCCATTGGGGGATCTTGTACAGTAATGTTTAGTGGCACACCAACTGCTGGGGTACCATCAGGAAGCCGCATGACCACCTATGAAGGAAAATACTTTTAGAAATAATTAAGTTCATGTAACAAGCAGTTTACTCATTTGCTGATCTCTGACATACCATCACATCAAGTGGAAATCCAGGAACAAAATGAGAGCGGGTTCGAGACAGATCTATGTTGTATTTCTGAGAGACGATTGGTAGATAAACTTCTGCCTCTTGTATTTCACCACCTCAATCAAGAAATGTAAACAAAACATATAATAAAATTTCAGACAGGGTTTCATTCATTAAGTTAAATAGGTTAGATGAGACTCTGCCTGGTTTCGGTTGCAAACGTCTGGGCCCAAAGGCTCTCCTAATTTTTGTATAGGATCCAGCTCACATGCGCCAGTTATACCGTAGGCCTATGGTAAAGACTGCTGCACCCAAAAGAAACAGGAAATACGTCACAAGATGATTTGGTCATGTAAAGTTAGAGAGAACATTTTTAAACTACACTAAGTGCAGATCATACACAGGACTTATAATCTGTATAGATTGTCTAGTTGAATTTTCATGTATTTTAAAAAATATTTTGCGATTTCCATCTTCTTCTCCTTCTTCCTGAGAGACTGGTGGGGCTGTGCCCTAGCGCCTGCTATGGACAGGCTTTCACTGCTGGTGGGACAGCTTCTCTGCTCAACAATACCTGAGAAGGCAACAGCTGGCTGCTACCACTTCAACTTTAGGACAAACAACCAGAGCCAGAAAAGAAAAACACCAGTTGAAGTCAAGGACAACAACAAATGTTTGGACCTAAAAAAAACACAACTGGTGTTTTGCATAGTCTCGTTTCCTCAAGCAAATTTCTGGTTCCGGTGGATGCAGATCCAGGGAAGATACCCAAGTGGAGGGGTGAGCATTTCGTGACAGTGTTTGTACAGTATTAATAAGCTCAATGTAACAATGAGACTGTTTTTGTACTTTTTGACTAGCACATACCACACACAAATGTATAGAAACTTCTAGGGTAGATCTATAACTGTAATTAACATATAGTGTTCTGGATCTATAACTATAATATAATAAAGTGTCTGGCTGCATTCACTCAAGATGCATAATGCTGCAAACACATGACATAAATGCAGTTGTCTTCACATTGAACATTTGTTGGCTTTTACACTGCTTTATAGTGAAACTACATTCAATAGTTCCTTTCTTACTTTTAATGTTTGTGACAAATACCCTCACGTGAATTTGGAATCCGTCTTCCTGCAAGTTAGAGAGGGTTAGGTTCCACTGTTTTTCAAGTTCCGAGTTGATCTTTTCTAACGGAAGAGCAACATCTGCTGTTCCATCCTGGACCTGAAAAAAGGTGCAATGTTTTAAAGAGATGGGATAACAATGTTAATAGACTAAACATCTCATATATTGAAAGTATGTATAACAAACTGAAAATAAATCATGTTTCTTTACCAAGCCAATCAGCTCCAGTCCCTTGATAATGTCAACCTCTTTACTGTTGTGTGTTGCACCTTTTCTTAGCACTCTGAATTGGCTGTGATAAGACCCATTGACTTTCTCACCATATGAGTACCTAAAAAAATTGTGTAGAGGCTGAGTCAAAGACAGATGTAATGTTACTGACAACGACATGCAGCTCAGATATTAGCTTTACTAAAATGGCAAAACAATTTTTTTTGCTTGAGTAGCTGTAAATACTCATATGCAGACTGTATTTTTAAAAAAGCACAGTGTTTGTCAAATTAAATATCCATCCATCCATCCATCCATCCATTTTCTTCGGCCTATCCAGAGTCGGGTCATGGGGGCACCAGCCCAAGTCAAGCGGAGAAAACTAATTTTGGCCGTTTGTATTCACAATCTTGTTCTTATGGTCACTACCCAAAGCTCATGGCCATAGGTGAGGCTAGGAGTGTAGATCGACCGGTAAATTGAGAGCTTTGCCTTCTGGCTCAGTCCTTTACCATGACAGAGCAGTACAACGCCTGCATCACTGCAGACACAGCACCAATCCACCTATCGATCTCGCGCTCCAGCTTTCCATCACTCGTGAACAAGACCCCAAGATACTTAAACTCCTCCACTTGAGGTAGAACCTCGTCTCTGACCTGGAGAAGACATTCTACCCTTTTCCAACTCAAGACCATGGTCTCAGATTTTGAGTAGCTGGTTCTCAGCCCAGCTGCTTCACACTCGGCTGTGAACCGCTCTAGTAAAAGCTGGAGATCATGTTCTGATGAAACCAACAGGACCACTTCATCTGCAAAAAGCAGAGACACCAAAACAGATCCCTTAACACCTTGGCTGCACCTAGAAATTCTGTCCATAAAGGTTATGAACAGAATCGGTGACAAAGGGCAGCCTTGGCGGAGTCCAACTCTCACTGGGAACGAGCCCGACTTACTACCAGCAGTGTGGACCAAGCTCTGACACTGGTCATACAGGGACCTAACAGCCCGTATCAGAGGGCCTGGTACCCCATCTTACCGGAGTACCCCCCACAGGGCCCCCCGAGGGAAGCGATTCAACGCCTTCTCCAAATCCACAAAATACATGTAAACTGGGCAAACTCTCACTCGCCCTCCAGGATCTCCCTAAGGGTATAGAGCTAGTCAAGTGTTCCACGGCCAGGACAAAAACCACATTGCTCCTCCTGAATCAGAGGTTCGACAATTTTGAGGACCCTCCTCTCCAGAACCTCTGAATAGACCTTACCAGGGAGGCTCAGGAGTGTGATCCCCCTGTAGTTGGAACACACCCTGCAGTCCCCCTTTTTAAATAGGGGAACCACCACCCCGGCCTGCCAGTCCAGTGGAACTGCCCCTGATGTCCACGCAACATTGCAGCCAACACAGCCTTACCTCATCCAGAGCCTTAAACTCCGAGCGGATCTCATCCACCCCTGGAGGCTTTTTGACCACCTCAGTGACCTCTGCCCCAGAGATCGGAGAAAGTCTCCGGACTCTGCTTCCTCACTGGAAGACATGTCGGTGGGACTGAGGAGGTCTTCAAAGTACTCTGCCCACCAATCCACAATGTCCCAAGTAGAGGTCAGCAGCACACCATCCCCACTATAAACAGTGTTGGTAGTGCACTGCTTTCCCCTCCTGAGGCACCGGATGGTGGAACAGAATCTCCTCGAAGCCGTGCAGAAGTCTTGCTCCATGGTCTCACCAAACTCCTCCCATGTCCGGGTGTTTGCCTCCGTGACCACCATCTTGTTCACCGAGGTAACCCCCAACGTACAGCTAAGATGGGGGACAACTAGTAGCCCAGCCCTGCTCGGCACCTCTCAGTGGGAGCAACTCCAGAGTGGTAGAGTGTCCAACCCTTTTTAAGGAAACTGGTTCCGGAGCCAGAGCCATGCTTTGAGGTGAGTCCGACTATATTTAGTCGGAACCTCTCAACCTCACTACACCAAGTCAGGCTCCTTCCCCACCAAAGAGGTGACATTCCACGTGCCAAGAGCCAGCTTCTGTAGCTGAGGATCAGATCACCAAGGTCCCCGTTCTCGGCTACCACCCATCACACACTGCACCCGACCCCTTTGGCCCCTCCCACCAGTAGTGAGCCCATGGGAAGGGAGGCCCACGTTTCCTCTTTGAGCCATGCCTGGCCAGGCTCTATGGGTGAAAGCTCGGCAACCAGGCGCTCAGCAACCAGGCGCTCGGCAACCAGGCGCTCGCCAACCAGGCGCTCGCCAACTTGCCCCGCCTCCAAGCCTGGCTCCAGGGGGGCCCTGTTGACCCACATCCGGGCGAGGGAACATTGTTTGCATTTATATTTTTCTTCATAAGGGGTCTTTGGGTTGCCTTTGTCTGATCCCTCACCTAGGACCTGTTTGCCATGGGTGACCGTACCAGAGGCATAAAGCCTCAGAAACCTTAGCTCCTATAGGATCATTGGGATACTCAAACCCCTCCACCAAGAGAAGGAGTCAGCCCAGGGAGGTGTTAAATTGAATAGTTTAAGCAAAAAGTCAGGAATAAATAGACAATGGAATCTGTGTTAAGCAGAGTGGGTTTACATTTGAACATTTGTTTTTCAAATTAGGTTTAGGTTTCAAATGGAGGATCTAATAGGAAAACATTGTCAGTGATCAAAGGTCTTGTTCACTGAGAAACCATGCAATGCTTGTTCTTGAAATACTATTGATTACTCTTGAGTTGCATTTGCATGATGAATGTAAAAAAATGTCTTCAACCCCCATTGCATGCATTAGCCGCAGACAGGAAATAGATCAGAAAATGAGCAAGTCAGAAAAAATCAGCCTCTTCTACATCACAGGGAAATTTGGCATTTATGGCCTTGCCCACCTTGACTTGCCACCACAAGCCGCAAATGGCAGCACACATTCTGGCTTGTGTTATTTGTGGAGATAACACATCAGTGTGGCCTTTTTGTACTCAAGAAACAAGAGGGAGTGAAGACAGCGGAAGCTTTGAGTTTCTGTTTGACAATTAGAAACAAGTTTGTATCTCATGAGAGTTAACGAGTAAGACTCAGTCCTGTGGTTTCCCACTAACCCACTCCTCTGACAAAATTTTACCCTCTGAAATAGGAGTGCAAGAGCTGTATCTTCCACAGAAAATTACTCACAAGGAATTCATTCATACTAGAGATGACCTTACATTGCTGAAATGGTGAAGTCCAGCTGTTCGTTGCTCAACAAAATGAAGCGCTGCCCTGTTTCAATCTTCACCTCAAAACTTGGTAAAACTGGAGTGTGATAGAAACACTGTTTAGTGAAATTACCAACCGTTAATTTTATGAACTAGAGATGTGGACAAAATTGTTTGTACCCTTCGGTCAATGAATGTGTAACGTACCAAAGGCCAAGTATTTAAATCACAAATGACCAGAAATTCACTTTTAATTTCCAGACAGAAACATCCCATCTGTCAGTTCCCCAAACAAGAAAAGCACTGCACAAGACCTTGTCACCAGATAAAGGAGCCATAATAATTCCTAGCTACCTTTTCTTAGCTGGAACAAAAGTCATGTGGAAGACTAGACGTTCTGCACTTTCACCCTGAATGAAGTTCATCTTCTTTGAGTCATAAATATTTTTTAAATAACTTGATAGTTGCATAAGTGTCATATAATCATCTCTTGTTTAATTTCTAAGTGTTTGAATAATATGTGCATTAATCAATGATGTGTTAAAATGAATATTTTTCCTGTAATTATCCATTTCAGACCGTAAACTACACCAGGTTAGTGTTTGCTGATTTAACAATTTAATATCAGTATATTCGCACCTTATAGTAATAGTTGAATTAATGTTTTAATATTCACTTTACATAAATGTGTAAAAAATTACCTCACAAGGTTCTGTTAAAGCATCTAGCTCACATTCCATAACTTCATTCATTATGTTATCTGTATAACCATCATTTCATTTATACTTTGTCATGTACAATAATTTAGTTTAGGAAAGTAGAACTAAAATCATTTCAATATACTATATGCTTAACACTGTCTGGATTAATGTAAAGTGTGCATTACCTGAATAGTCAAAGAAACTAAAGTTTTCTGATTAAACATTCAAAGACCAATCAGATTGATATTTCGTATTTATATGGAACATCATATATGTAGTCAATCATTAACGCTACGAATGAAAACCTCACAATGGTCAAAGAAATAACTTGAATCTGATTAAAGTAATAGTAAATAAAAAATCTATTTAATTTAACCAATGAAATTTAGACATTGTTTTCTACCAATATTCAATGGAATTTTTTCAAAAAATAAACTCATGGAACTGCCCTGGTCAAAAATGATTGTAAACCGAATTTAATAATTTGTTGCCCAACCTTTTGAGGCAATCACAGCAATCAAATGATTCCTGTAACTTTCACTGAGACTTCTGGACCTCTCGGCAGGTATTTTGGCCTGCTGTATGTGATTGACAGAGTATGTTTTTTTCCGACTAACTGCTCCAAGCTATTGCTCCTACAGTAGCTGCAGCAGTCACACATGTGTTCAACGCATCACTGACATCCGGTACATTTCCCACCTCTCTCAAGCATGCTCAGGTTAAACCGCTGCTAAAAAAAAAATCATCTCTTCCTCCAAATCATGTGGAGAACTACCGACCTATCTCTCTCCTCCCGTTTCTGTCCAAAATCATTGAAAGGGTGGCTTTCAAGCAGATCACAGAATACCTCTCACAAAACTGTCTGCTTGGCCCTTACCAATCTGGGTTCAAAAAGGGCCACTCCACTAAAACTGCTCTGTTAGCAGTGACAGAATCCTTAAAAGAAACTAGAGCGACTGCCAAATGCTCAGTGCTTATCCTGCTCGACTTATTGGCTGCATTTGACACTGTCAACCATGGCTTCCTTTTGTCCACACTCTCTAAAATGGGCGTCACAGAGAAAGCACGCGCCTGGTTTGAATCGTACCTCACAGGACGATCATTCAGTGTATCTTGGCTTGGACAATCCTCTACCGTGCACCATCTTGCCACAGGAGTCCCCAAGGGCTCTGTACTAGGACCGCTTCTCTTTGCCATATACACCACCTCACTGGGTTAGATCATTCGATCACATGGCTTCTCCTACCACTGCTATGCAGACGACAACCAGCTCTATCTGTCCTTTCCACCGAACGACCTCACTGTCTCTGCACGAATATCAAACTGTCTCTCTGACATATCAAAATGGATTAAATCCCACCATCTCCAACTCAACCTCTCTAAATCCCAGCACAATATCTCAATATCTCAATCCAAAATGACTTCCTATCTCTGGCTTCTTCAAAGGCAGTTAGAAATCTGGGTGTTGTGATTGATGAACACCTGACCTTTAAAGATCATGTTGCCTCTGTTACTCGTTCATGCTGCTTTGAGCTGTATAACATACGAAAGATCAGACCATACCTAACACAACATGCCACCCAGCTCCTGGTGCAATCTACTGTCATCTCCTGCCTCGACTACTGCAATGCCCTTCTAACTGGTCTTCCAGCCTGTACTATGAGACCTCTTCAAATGGTCCAGAACGCAGCGGCGCGTCTGGTCTTCAATCAGCCAAAAAGAGCACATGTCACCCCTCTGTTCATTGAGCTCCACTTGCTACCGCTAGCTGCACGCATCAAATTCAAATTGCTAACACTAGCATACAAAGTCCGAGATGGTATGGCTCCCTTCTACCTGAATCCTCTTGCAAAGGCTTACGTCTCAGCCCGGCCACTCCGGTCATCACAGGATCGTCGGCTAGCAGTGCCTACACCACGCTCAGGGCAATCCAGACTCTTCTCATGCTTCATTCCACAAATGTGGAATGACCTACCAAGCACTACCAAAACAGGAGCTTCCTTTTCATCTTTCAAGAAACTCCTGAAGACCCTGCTCTTCAGAGAGCATCTTCTAAACTAGCACCCTCCCTGCATCCGTCCCCCTCTTTACTGTCCCCTCCTTGTTCTCTCCTCTCCATGATTCATCATGCTGCCTCACTGCCACCTATGACTGACTGGAAACTGTTTGTTGTTGTTGTTTTTGTTGTTATTGTTGTTGTTAGCCTCAAGGGCAACATGCCGATTATCACTTGTAAGTCGCTTTAGACAAAAGCGTCTACTAAATACATAAACAAACAGGTTTGAAGGGCACCTATTCCAGATGTGATGTTTCAGCTCCTTCCACAGAAGGATTGAGGTCAGGACTTATAGAAGGCAACTTTAGAATAATCCAATGTTTTCTTCTTAGCCATTCTTGGGTGTTTTTAGCTGCGTGTTTTTGGTCATTGTCATGATGTGCAGCTGAGACCAAGCTTTCTCACACTGGCCAGCAAATCTCTCTCTAGAATCCTTTGATAGTCTTGAGATTTCATTGTATCCTGCAGAGATTCAAGACACCCTGTGCCAGATGCACCAAAGCAGCCCTAGAACATATGTAACGGGGCCTCCTCCGTGTCTCACAGTAGGGACAGTGTTCTTTTCTTGATATGCTTCATCTATTTGTCTGTTAACATAGAGCTGATGTGCCTTGGCAAAAATGTCCATTTTTGTTTCTTCTGTACATAGGACATTCTCCCAGAAGCTTTGTGACTTGTCAACATGTCGTTTGCATATTCCAGTCTGGCTTTTTCTTATTTGTTTTCAACAATGGTGCCCTCCTTGGTCATCTCCCATGTAGTTCACTTTTGCTTAGAAGTTTTTCTGGGCTCTTTTGTTACTTTTTGGATTATCCATTTCTTTAATTTGCCATCAATGTTCCTCCTGCGGCCATGCCCAGGGAGGTTGGCTACAGTCCCATGGATCTTAAATTTCAGAATAAAATGTGCAACTGTAGTCACAGGAACATCTAGCTGCTTGTAGATGGTCTTACAGCCTTTACCCTTAACCCTTAAACTTGGTTCAGCATGGACTAGCATGAAAATTATTGCAGGACATGGCTCTGAGGCACATTATACAACCATCTGTCTTGACCCATTTAACACTGACAGGGAATTAGCTAATGCCCTGAACAGTTTTTATTGTCTGTATGATGCTCTGGATTTCAGCGGGGAACGGGAAATCCTGAGGGAGAAATTTAAGGATAGTGAGCATTTTAAAGTTGAAATGGAGGACATAGGCAGGGCCAGGGCCAGATTAACACTTTGTTGTACCCTGGGCAACAATATTCAAGGGCCCCATCATCACGACCCAAGGTTACCATAATGTGGTCACATACAGAATATTTTACTGTAATATGCAGTAAATATACTCAATACTTGAATGCCTGACATCACATAACCTGCTCAGGGTAACCTTTGACCCACCTCGTTTGGACTGACCAATGAGGAGAGGGTCTTAACTTGAGGCCCTCTCTTCATTGGTCAGTCTGCAAGAGACTGACTCTCAACTGACGTTCAGAGTCATAGGCAGTGAAGCGTCTCTGTGCAGCGCAAAAGCCCGGGTGGACAGTTTGTTTAATATAGGGTGATCATATTTCCATTTCCAAACAAGAGGACAGGGGATCTGTGCCTATGACGTCACACTATGGCAACGCCACACAAACCACGTTGGGACCCATTTTTTGTAAGAACTAAATTGATATCAAATTCTGCCAATAAAAGGGCTCTAAAACAATTCATATGTAAATATTTAGCATATTTATTGCAAAATCTCATTTTTCTGCTTTAGTGCTGCAAGATTTTATTAATAATAAATTATAACTTTTGTTTTACTACAGCATCGGTAAGCTTCCTGTGCACAGATTATTAAGGATGCTTGTTTCAACTGTGAGATTAGACAATAGGGTCAATGAAAAAATAAATTGTCCCACACTCCATGGAAACTTTCAGAGAATCCACAAATAGTGGCTTTCAAATGGTTTTGTTACTTTTTCCAAGTTTAGAAAAGCAGCAGATGAGACAGCATGTCTGATAATTTAGTTTTTCATCTGATAATATTAGAACATGTCAGTAATGTCTGAGGGGCTTTTATAAACACTGTATATCTAACACTACTGGAGAGGGTATGAATTACACAGAGGCTTCTGGGGAGCCCAGTTATGGGGGTGGGGGGTGGGGTGGGGTGGGGGGTAGTCTTGGCCCCCAAAATGTCTTGAAACGGCCCTGGGTGTGTGACTGAGTGTTGAAGGTGATCTGAATTGTATCAGATGTATAATTATTACATGTGTGTAACTTATTGTTTTATACAGGTAAAAACGTGTAGTGGAGATAAATCTACCTACATTTTACTTTTTGTTTTGTTTTCTTGTTTTTATTTAA